CAAGGTTCTTGTAGACAACCTCATTCAGCGCTAACAGGGAAAGCTGTGAGCGCAGGAAAAAAAGACAAACAGCAGCTAAGTCTGCAGGTTAGGATAACTTCATTCTAATTTACTGTTACAATTACAACAAGATTTTAATTAAAAATATCAATTATATTTAACTGTAATTAACCACTTCACTCCCAAGAGTGGTAGGTCAAAACTTGAGAAGAAATCTTTGAATTTCAATGTGCAGAATCAACAAAAACAAAGAGTAAAACATGAAAGTGCTGCTTGACAGCTTACATTTCATGTTCACACAGAGTTTTATCCAAATAAGTCACAACCACATAAAATCAAGACAAAGCCTGTCTCTGGGAGTGAAAGCGTTAAATACCATTCGTATCATCATCCAAAATTAAATGATTCATTTTAAGACTATTTTTAGACCGATAGTATTTATTGCAACAAATATTATTTAAGATATTGTATTTTATGGAAAAGAATCAGCAGATTTTATTCATAACTTGTGTCTTACCAAATTTAATGATTGATTAGGACTATTTTACTTTAATAGCTGTCATTGAGGATTAATTCATATGAAGTTTTCAAGAAAAGAAAAAAAAATCAAATTCCATCCCAACTACATGTTGATGTTAATATACAAAGTGAATCCGCTGGCTTGCCGATTACAGTGTTAAGAGAAGCCCACAACTTTATTCTGACTTCTCTGACCGGTTCTCTACTTCTAGACGATGGATACCTTGGTGATATAAATAATGATGTGAGCTCACTCTATGTAGAAATGATTGACACGAATCGATCGTACTACAAATACACGATTTGTGGCCGAAAGTTGTCGAGGAAACAAAGACTCGAAACTCACTTGAGTTGTGTTCATGGCAAAGGTGAGAAATAACACAAGCCAATCACAAGTTTGAATGCGACTACAGATCGTCTTTTACCCTCATATTCATAAAAGAAGGATACCACATTAGGAAGTATAAGAGATACATAGATGATCCCAGTGTACCAGTACCTAAATCTACAAAGCTTGACCGTAGCAAGCGTTCAGCAACACGTTCCAACACCGCCATCTCGATTCCTCAGTCAGTCGTTTCCACTGAACTTAAAGCAGTGGTGACAACAGAGTAGAGTGTGTTTTACAAAGGAGAAACATTTGTACAAGAGAAAGAAGTAACTATACGCGATTACAGAGGTGCGTTGGAACTCTGGTACACAAATAGGTATGCACTGTCCGAAGTATAAAACAATTTTGTTGATAGCTGACAGACAGAGAAGAAAAACATGTAAACTTTAGAGCAGTTATTATTGAGGTGTAACTTGCACTTTTCACTTGTATATAAAGAAGGACTTGTATTTTGCACCAAAAATGAAAAGATGAAAAAAAAAGCGACAACAATCATGAAAAAAAAAAGATTAATTAGGTGTTGAATTTGGTTGTCTAAGGCATGAAATTTTCTACTAAAAATAATGTCAACAAAAATTCTCTGACAGTGTTTGAGGCAACTGCACTTGACTGCTCCAAGGTTTTCTAACAAAGGCAACCAGTAATGTAGATTAGGGAAGTAACTTATGTTCATAACTAAGAAAGTTCTTTAAGTGTAGATAACAATGTAATTATTGTTACACATGTGGAAGTTGTGTACCAAGGAACAGCTAATGAGTGTTTGATGATTTTGGCACATCAGTGAACATGAGACATTTTGCATCACAATAAAAAAATTTATTATCATGGAATCCAAGAGTCCTTTGAGGTTAGAAAGCAAATCTGTGATATGAGTACTTTGGATTAATTGGCAATTTCCATTTAACATAATTGACTGCTGCTTCATGAGAAAATCAATATTAAAGGGCATGTAAACCCAAAAAACGTTCATTTTCTTTTCACATAGATGTTTTGTAAATATATCAAGTACACCAAAGGTACCATTCGTTTATTCTCAAAAGTCCATTTTCACTTTGTAAAAGCTCTTCCAAATTCGAAACATTCGCCATCTTGAATGGCGCTATCTTTCCTGTGACGTCACGGGTGGACCCTCCAAAGTCTCGTTTTATAATCGCGTGAGGCACGAAGGAGTCTTTCCTACAGCCGTTGTTTGCTGGTCTCGTCATGATTTTTTTACTTACAGTTTGCTTCAATATATTCAATTTTTTCGTAATGGTGAAGCATTGTGTCGTCCAGTTTTGTACTGATTCAAACAAAACTGGGCATACAATGCAAATATTTCCAAATGACGCAAATTTGAAGCGACAATTTGTGAAATTTGTTCAAGTGAAAATAGCCGATTTCGTCGAGCCGTTCGAACGTTCTGTTGTTTGTGGCAGTCATTTTTCTTCCTGGTGCTGTACCGACGATTCAGGCCTCACCAGAAGCAAATTATTCGGAAGTATAAAAACGACCCATACAGTCGGCAGACGACGAGGATTCGGAAGTGGCCGACCGAACTGAGAAAGAAGTTGAGCTCTTCAAAAGTTAGAGGTCAACAGAGAAAGTACAAAATCGATTTACATGAAAACGTTTTGTTAATTAAACAACAATAGCTTTATTGGTTCTCTAAAAACATCTTTTTTCGCATCTAATGAAATATTATGGGGGAAGCCAGTTGTTTGGGAGCCAGCGCTGAGCCCGTAAAAGACACTGACTTGTCTGAACCTTAAGAAAGAGAATTCGTTGATATCAGTGTGTAATAACGTGATCTGGAATTTTGTCGGTTCGATAAAAGAATTCTATACAGGATCCCATAATCAACCCTTATGTTCTATAAGAAAATCCAAGCCAGCCACACTTGGTGCTTCCTTTGAGAAACCCTGCAGAGAAACAGCAGAAGAATTTGTGTCACGGTTTTACAGCAGCGAAAATGCATTCAAAGGTCAGTAGGACAATATTCATCATTTTGAGTACAACTTAAAAGATCCTGATTTCAGCTTGCAAAACTATCTTTTCAATATTTCAAATCGAAGCAAACACAAACAGGGTTGGATAATTATGAAGGGCACACAAGGAAATGTACATGATACAACTTTTTTATCGATGGAAATGCTTCTGAGATGAAGGATATTGTTTACCGCACAAGATAGCACAGCGACTCTAAAGTGTTTGCCGAGATATCCCCAACACCAACGAACAAGCTATTTGTAGGCAATTTAGCGAAATTTCCTGCCAGGAAAGAAGCGAAAAACAACTAGCTCTAGTACTGTATTATTAAATCAATGGCAGAAACAACTCAAGTAAATCGATCTCAAAATGTAACAAAACAGATGAAACAGAAAATATTTAGCTTAGTCGTTTCCGGTGTGATTATCTGTGCTTTGCTGCTGCCTGTACGCGTACTTGGCCGTCTTCAGCACCCAGAAATCGAGGCAAATTGACTGAAAACCTGGATGCTCAGTGATACAACTTATCTGGGTTTCAGGCCATTTTGCCACAATTGCCCGATTTCCGTACAACAAACACTTTCATGAGTTGTCGGCATTGGTTGACAAGTTCCACACTCGCACCTTTGATAATTTTATATAAAACACTTTCAGAAGCTCAAGTTAAAAAAAATTCTGTTGCATTCATTTAGATTGTACCCTCGCCTTATTGCATTTTCATGTTAAATACAAATAAATCACAAAGTAAATTAAATACCAGTCTGAGTTTCCGAGACGGTCGCATCGCTGTCGACATGTTCTGTACTGTCTTCGTGCGGATCGCTTCGGTGAACCCTACGCGGCTCATATTGTTAAGGACGTGGCCCAGACTCTCCTGAAGATTCTGGATTATCCCCAGCGCTGTCATGTACTAAGCTTAAGGCATTCGAGTCGCTATCTTCTGAAAAAACATCTTCCGAACCACCGCTACTTACACGAACTCCCACACCAGTTCTACTGGGGAATATGTGTTGCGCAATATTTTGGTTCCACCGCTTACGTCACGACTTCTCGCTATTGTTTTTACCGGAAATGGAATTTCAGTTGAAAATGCCGATTTTCTCCTAAAATAAGTCGAATTGGACAAAACTAATTTCAAATTCGTTTTCTACGCCACTTTTTACATAGTATAAGAAAAACATGTATTTTTGGGTTTACATGCCCTTTAATGTAGAGATTTACTAAAACTTAGTTTGAATAAAAAATTTCATGATCTTTAAGTTATAAACATATAAATGTATGTATATCTCTTCATAAATTTTGTATAGCATACCTTTTATTGAGCCAAACTTTTAAGCCTCCGAAATTACTCCTTTTCTTAAAACCTTCACATTCAAGGTATTTAGAATTTCTCAGAATTTATGTGGACCACAGTGTATTTAAATTGCCTCAAATTCAATTCCCAGAAATTCCCAAGAATTCCACCCTTCTTAAATTATGGGTAGTTTGTATAGCTGAGAATTCCTAGGAATTCCAAGTCCTCACAAAACTGGAGCCTTGCTTTCCCAGAAATTCCCAGTAACTCCAAGGTTTTTAAGTCAGAGCTTATTTGCATAGTTGGGAATTTTTGGGAATTCCTAGGAATTCCCAGAAAACTGGGAATTCAGTTGGCAAGGGTTATTTGCATAATTAGGAATTTTTGAGAATTCCTAGGAATTCCCAGAAAACTGGGAATTCAGTTCGCAAGGGATGGTGGATCAACCTTCTTCGGAATGATCGCAAGGATTTTCGCGTCCTCTGGCAAAAACCGATCCATAAGCGTTTACTGCCTCGGAATCTACTAAATCAATGATTCATCTGATTCCATACCGGATTAAAACGTATAGAACTGTTTTAAACAGAATTATTTTGATAAGCTCTTCAAATTCATCGGAGAAAACGCAGAAGGTATTTTGAGACGTGAAGGTTAAAATAACTGACCAATCAGAGGCGCTATTTAAACAAAAGCGGTGGTTCAAAACAAAAACAAACGACCGCGTTGCATCAAGGTTAGAAATGGGCCTTTAAGCTATACAAAACTTTAGGGCCAGTTCAGAGGTTGCGATAATCATAACTTTGGTCTCGAGATCATGTTGCAACACATAATGGCAGTCTGCCGATCGAATTTATCGCTCTTAGCTTGTTTTTTACTACTTTCATTTTCCGCCATTGTAGAAACACAGAATGAGGACAGCGGTAAAGTCAAAGAGAAGGAAGCTGCCGAGAAAGAGAGGAAATACAGTGCGACCCACACGGCATTCCTGCTTGTTATGATGTTTTTGTTGATTATCACTGTGTTGACTGTGTGGTTTTTTAAAGTAAAGCGTTGGCGCTTTCTGCACGAGACGGGATTTTGTATGATATACGGTAAGTTCTCTATTATAGGTACCGTAGTTTCTCGGTTATATGGCGCACAGTTTTTTCAAGAAAATTCTGTCTTCGGTTGGAAAGTTAATGCAGAAATTGGGGTGTCGTCTTATAGCAAAGTATTTGTGCGCAACAAAATCTTAAGATCACAATTTTAGTAGAACTTACAGTTAAAAAGGCATGAAAAGGACTCTAATTGTTGAGAGAAAAAGCAGAGATTTTTGGTCTGAGGTGTAGCGAAGATTGCGTCAAATTCAATCCTTCATTCTTATAAACTAAAAAGGAACACTGCTTTCAGAACACTAACCACCTGCCATAGAAAAGTTTGCATACGTGCTAAGCAGCACCTGCTCGGTAACATGATATCCAACTGAGGTCCTTCGGTCGGTAGCATTCTATGGATGCACACTTTGTTATCATCCGCAGCTCACCAGGAAAACAGTTGTCGGTTGCGTCATTTTCTCAGCATGGATTCTGAAATGCCATATTCACGGGCAATTTCACGATTGCTATTGACTGCCTCGGCTTCAGCAACAATTTTCAACTTGACGTCGAAGTCATACGAGTGACGGCGAGCGCTTGGCATATTTGCGATCGAACACGAAGTTGAAGTCTCTGACTGTTTATGATGAGAAAGTATCGGTTAGTTTTGCAACTGAGTTTTAAATCAGTTGGTTGATGTTAATAGAATGAAATCGGATCATTGAATATTTGTTATTTAATTTCGCAAATAGAAGCATATTTCGTAAACAGAAAGGCTAAAATAAACGAGTCATCGTTTTATGTTTCTCATTACAGGTGTGAAATTTTAGCCCAGGTTTTTACGTAGATCATTAAATGTGTGACTTTTTCACTTTTATTACTGTGATACCTGTGGTAGCCCAGTCATTTTTTTCCTCCGCCACAAAATGGAAAAATTGCGCAATAGTATCCAGTGGTCATTGGGCCCTCAACACCATGACAACTAACTGTGATCCAATGAGGGTGAAGGTGTTCACATGCTGATCACGTGTTATCTTGACGATGATTGACGTTGTCATGCACGGACAGGTCCGAGTCACATGACGAACACGAGATTTTTGCTTAGAAAACTCTTTTGCCGATCGTTTTGTATTTCAACATGTTTGGATTACGATCACCTGAAGCATTATAGCGCAAACGCTCAAAATACTTACAGACGCATACACAAGTCGTATTGTTCGCAGCCAATCCACACTAAAAGATGTTATTGAGCGGTAATTTTGGAACGGATTGAGTCGCGAACGCTTGCATGAAAGCCATGAAAGCCTTGAATGCCTTGTATGCTAAGTATGCCAATGTCATAGTTGAAAAACGTACACTTGTTTTAAAAAGCAAAATCTGAAATCTGAAACCAAACTGCATATACTTTATACAATCTATTGAACAACACTACTACCGTGAGACTGAAGAACAAAACTCTAATGGATGCAAACTGCCTGTGAAGAAAGACACCATGTTGGATTCACCTGATGCCAGGGAACGTAGCTACGATAACAGTGCGAATGGTATTAATTTCGCGATCAGAAAGGTGAATCTTAAGTTTGTTTTCATTGTAGTTGTATGGATATTCTTTTTTAATAAATACATGATCCAAAATCCTGTGTTTTTTGTGTATAATGTTATCATGTTAAGTATTGTTTACGCAATTGTCTTGTCACAAGCAGCCCAAGCTCACGTCTCGAGAAAAAGCCAACGATTAATTCATGAACGCGTCACGCGTTGTGTGACTCGGTGTTCAATTACGAAAGGAACCGTTGAAAATTTGAACACGTTATAGGGAATAGCATAGAGAACGAAATATGGTCGATTTAAAACGATAAATATTTCGAAATATGAACATTTTGCTCGTAAAATCAATAAAACTTTCTCATACCCTGTGTATCCGTTGTAGTTTCTGGCGATTTCTGCCGTTTTAAGCGTGCTTTACCATCACTGTTATTCACGTCATCTACTTTTATTACGTTGATAAAATCTGTACAGATATCACACCAACCAACTCGCGCGCAAAGTAAGAAGACTACATTGAAGGCTTGAAATTATATTACGATCGATTTTCATCAAGAAATGGGCCAGGAATAATCCACAATAGTGCAAATAATTGCGAAAGCTGATCGCGGAAAAGCGATTGCGTGACGCTCCGTAAGCTGGAAGATGACATATTATTATATACCAGACGTAAAAACTCTTCAGATTCTCAGTCTGCATTTTATACCCACTCTGCAGTCTATATTTTGTATCCAGTCTGCAGTCTGCTGTCTGCATTTTGTACTAACAGGTATCCGTGGCACCAATACAGTTTATTTTTGGTTACATTTATTCGCACAACACATACAATCTACAAAAAATTCCTGTGTGTGAGTTAATTCGACATTTTTGTTCTTTTCCGCGTTAATGCTCTTCTTTCCTTTTGTAAGCATGTAGACATCACTTACAATGTTTCAAATAATCCACCCACCCTACAAAAAATAACTCTTGCATGCATAGCATGCCTATGTTTTGAAATAGGTGTATGCTCTTGGCCAGACTTGAGCTCACTATTTCAGTATACTAGTCCGACACCCGTAGTATCACTACACTTGATTCCAAGGATCCACTACCATCCAGGTATCCCAGTTACCCTGCTCACAGGGTCTAGTTTACCTTAGCAAACGAGTTTGCATGCCAGTTGTGTAGCTGTAACTGTTCTCGGTTCTAGCACTTCCTTTTGTCATTACGACTTCAACACGGACAAAGTGTGTAATTCATTAAGAAAAAGGTGATGGCGCTTCCACAAACTGGGCCTCAAAGCCGAAGCAGTCGATGAAGAAGGGGTTTAGTGTGCCTGCTCTGTTGAAGAAGTAGACAATGATTACGTGAGCGTTTTCTATGACGGCTTGAATGCAGAGTGGAATCGCCGCGCCTGTGATCCACGAGATAGGGATCGAACATTGCCTGACCAGAAAAGAAAGCGAATAAACCTTTCCCTTCAGTGAACAATGTCTTCACCCAAAGACTTATGTAAACAAAAAGCTCAAATTACGGTTCGCTTCAATTTCTGGCGTGAATTTGCATAATCTTTCATGGACGAAATCTTTATGAATTTCAAAGATCAAAACCATTTTCTAAACTACATCTGCTTTCGTGGAAAAGGTTGTGGTTATTCATCGTGGTGAATAACAATAAAAACTAAGTTTTCCGTTTGTCTCACGATGTAGTCACGTGTGATGTAGATCGCGTATTTATTTTTTACATCTGCTTTATCTTTATCCACTTAGCAGACAAGGCTTTCAAAATTGCGTTCAAAATACCAGCTACAAAACAAATAAACAATTTAACGTAGTTCACTTCGAATTTCTCGATCTATCCCAGTTTCTCCGACTGTATCCAAACAGCTGTGCGCCAGCGCCTGCTCTCTGCGAAAATTTGGAGAAGCTTGACATCTCCTTACTTTTAACAAAGATTGTTAAAATCCGCTGTAAAACTCTGATAGTTTTTAATGAGAGAGACTTACTTTTAGGCAGGAACTGCTTTTTTATGGCAAAAGATAAATTTAAAAAAACTCGCACCTTCTTCACTGTGAGACTTGTGAATGAAAAAATATCACACCCTCATCTTGCCACGTGTTTGATTGAAAACGAAAATAACTCAAATATATGCTCTCGCAAAAACTAGAAATCATTGCTTTGTTCGGTATATCTTGTATCATCAACATAGTTACACGAATTCGGCGCTTTTGCAAAGAAGGATCCTCGTGTTAGGTAAACATGTTGGTTCTAAAAACGATGAGCGCCTCTTTTGAAAACAGCTGTGCGCCAGAAAAGAGGTCTTTAATCGCCTCGAGGCCCTCCACAGAAAACCGTCACTTTCGATTGTATTTAACACCCGTAGTAAGACCAAAAAATAAAATTTGTACGTTGACTTTTTGCCAGGCGACTTGACCTACATATAGAGAGAGGTGGTTTAAATGAGTCACTGCAATACGGATAAATTGTTTCGATCGGCCGATCGAATTCGCCTCCGGAAATGTTTACAAATTCAAAATAATTTACAGGCATAGTTGCAAACCGCACAGCTGATCTCGTAAATCTCGATAATTTCCTTTCAATTTCAAAAAGAAAAAATGTCCTCGGTAAAAAATAGTCTATTCCACGGTTGCAGCAGGGACGTAATCAATTCGAACTCGTATCTGAAATGGAAATCGTGGTAAGTATTGTTGCTGGATATCCGTGCGGACGAAACGAAATAACAGTTGTCTTGTTAGCAACATTAAACTAAGTATGTCCAGATAGAGCTAAATTGAATACTGGAACAAATCCTTCCAAGGCTTTCCTCTGACTCCGAAAATAATCATTGGCCGATTGGCCGATCGAAACAATAGCCTCATGATCGATTTCTACTGAGGGGACCCGTGGTTCTAAAACAATTTATAGACCATAACTGACGGTATGGTCCCCGGCGAGGCTCAGTTCAAAAAGGAGGTAGGGTTACCGAGCTGGTTTTCAACGGTCGTGTGTCAAGGTTGATGTGGCCGCGGGCTGTTAGAAACCTCTAAACTGGAAATTTTTGAAGCAAACTGCGACTTAGTGTCGGTTGCACGGGGAAGATTGAGTTTTTAGCGAATTCTAATGAAACTACAGTATATGTGCTTGGATTCTGCGTTGGATTTGTGGGCGCCCGATCATTTTGAGCTTGGATTTTTCGCTTCTCGGATCAGGCGTTCGGAAATGGAGTGTTCAGCCTTGGGCTTTTCTTATGTACGTTGAAAACCTCGAAATAAACAACTCGCTTAAATGGGCTCTTTTCATCAAAGTAAGCGGTCAGATAACAAGCGACACACTGTGGAAGTAAGGTGAGGTTTTTTTTTTGTTGAGAATTTGACGTATTTTTTATTCCTTAGAGCGGTCGTAAATATGCCCATACAAACTCTTATAATTCCGTCATGACTGTTATTGCGCAAGATGATCATCTCACAGCTGGAGCTTGGGCCGCCTGTGGATGACGTCACGTGGTTGAATTCCCAGCTGAGTGAAAACTCGTGAAATTCCGGACTACTAAACTGTGCACCATTGTCTGAAACAACAGTGTTCGGAATCCCATGTCTACTGAATTTCTGTTTAAGAACTTGAATAACTGCAAATGAGGTAGTGTCCTCAAGTTCATCAACTTATACAAAATTTGAGAAATAATCAACGAGTGTGATGTTTACTGTATACTGATCTGTAGCAACTTTGCTCCATGGCCTGTCAGAAACTCTTTGAGATTACATAGGCTGACCAGCATTTTTCGCTTGAAACTGTGCGCAAACTGAGCATCTCTCAACTACAGCTTTGATTTCTGAATTAAAGTCAGGCTAGAAGACGATGTCTTTAGCCTTTCTCAGGAATTAAGCAATTCCTTGATGGCTGAAGTGTATTCTTGAAAGCATCTCCGGCCTCATAGATTTCGGAACTATCACTCTCTGACTCTTAAACAGAATTCCATTGTGGAGTGAAATCTCTTCTCTATGATTCCAGTAATCGCGAACTTGTACTGGGCATTGCTCTCTTTTCTCTGGCCATCCCGTTAGGACAGTGGTTTTTAAGGTTTCGAGAACGAGGTCTTGCACTGAAGACTTCTGCAGTTGAACTAGCCTTTCTGGAGCTACTTTGATGGAATTAAAGGGGGTGAGTGTTTCAAGTTCCATAGCGAAAACCTGAAAGTTGTCTGACGTCCACGTAGTATCAGCAAGTGAGGCTCTTGACACAAGATCGGCGACATACATCTGTGTACCAAGTTTATTCTTCACCTCTACATTAAAGCGTTGTAACCGCAACATCATTTTCTGTCAACGACACGGAGCCGAGTGGATGGTCTTTTTAAAAATGCTCAGCATCGAAGGTGGGCATTTGATATTTAGGAAGGATGACTGCCTTGTTAAGATCTTTAGGGTCCAGGCAAATCCTGATCTTGTTTGGTGTGGTTACTACAACCATACTACTGATCCAGTCGGTGGGTGTGGTGACTTTCTCCTCGATTCCTTTCTTCTCCAAGTCATCAAGTTTGGCCTCGACTCTTTCGCGTAAGGCGACTGGTACTCGACGTGGAGAGTGCTGCACTGGCTTAATGTTAGGGTCTTTCACAATCTTGGTATCTCCAATATGGCCCAACCCTTCAAACATGTCACTGCAATCTCTCAAAACCTGATCTCTAGTCAGGAGACTGTTCCTAACAGTATGAATAGATTCCTCTGGATCCAATTCAACCTTGAGAAGCTCTAACTATTCACAGGTCTCAGCTGATAATAAGGGTTTGTTAGTACTGTTAACAACTTGGAATATCAGGTTCAGGCAGTTGCCTTTTCTCTCTACCGTGAAGATAATCTCGCCTATTGCCGATATCAAAGTACAATCAAATAGCTTAAGCTGTGAGTTGGGCTTACTTAAAGGGGATCACCATTCTGGAGTAGTTGAACCAGACTTCTGTGACTGATAACATTGCAAGTTGCTCCAGTGTTCAACTGACACATAAACTGCTCTTTGTACTTCTGATCTTTACTATTTTACTTTTCACTTTATTTTTCTATTTTCTTTTTTTTTTTGCGTATCTTTTTGTCCTGTTGTGTTATATTTCTTCATTTTCGTTTTATTTCCATTGTAATTAAATGAAGTCAGTAAAAAATAAATAAATAAATAAACAAATTTGACCCGCCTCGATTAGCATTTGCTATCCGCAGGTCAAAGGAATATCATGTAATATGTAAGAAAATGAAAATAAAAGTGTGAAAGTGTCATCTACTATAAACGTAATGCTAGATGTCAACTGTTTACCACTACCACTACCACTAATTGCTGTTATCTCCTCTAGCTGTAACAATGATTCCTCTGACTCAAAACCTTCTGCCTCCTCGGCAACATGAACTTTCTTTTTGCTTGACTGACGCATGCGAGCGAAATGATTCATTTTCTAACAAATTCGACGTTTCTCTTCGTGTGCTGGACAATCAGTCAGCCTAGCATGCTTCCTTTACTGACCACAGTACTTGCATTTCCAAGATTTATTGGCAGGTTTCTTTTGTATTGGAGGCTTCTTTTGATTTGGAGGTTTCTTCCCTTGTGCTGATCTACACTTATCACGAACGAAATTCAGTTCGTCGTCATCCTTCTTCTCGTCATTTTGTATTGATTTTAACTGCTGATTCGTTATTTTGCTTGATTTACACATGTCGAGAGCTTTATTCAAGGACAGAGCTCTTTCTAGAAGCAATCTAGCTTTTGTACTCTTATCTAAAATGCCAATGACTAATCTATCTCGTATCATTTCTTCTGTAAGAGCTCCATACTGACAGGATGATGCCAATTTCCTTAATCTATTGACAAGATAATCAACAGTTTCGTAGGGTGTTTGAAAACAAGAATTGAGCACATACCTTTCGTAAGCCACGTTTCGCTTGGGGAGAAAATAACCCTCAAATGCTTTGAGTGCTGAAGAAATAGTTCCTCACCAGACCCAAAATTAAGATCCTAAAAATCTGCTAGCACTCTTTTCCCATAACGGAACGGAGCGTTGCTAACCGTACCGGTTGATTCTTCTGATCCAAACCAGTCGCTACTTCGTAATCTTGTTATTATTCTCAGTTACTCGGAATATCCCCACGGCAAACCATTGCTGCTGGTACAGGAAAATTTGCAGGGAAATTGTATATCTGACGTGGTGGGGGAGCGTGTGGACCCGCGGAAACAGTTCGTGGAGCTGGCGGTGGAGGGGCTTCTTCAGTATCCGACATCGTTTCGCTTTCCGCGCACGTGGCTGATGAAGGAAATCTATGAGGTTCTTTTACGGACAAAATATCGAACATGGATACATTAATGTTTTGTTCAATTACGTTATTGTTATGCGTTATAATACAAGTCTTAAGATAAAATAAATCAATTTCATTTATAATACATCGATTTTGGATGTCATACATCGATGTTGTGCAGCATACATCGCTTTCCTGACTCATTCATGCGCGACCTCATATAACTAAAAGATGTTCAATAAAACTAAAAGATGAGGAAGCGGAAATAGAAATGACCGGAAGTCAGATTAAACAAGAAGCCCCGGAAACTAACACTTTCAAAATGGCGGAAATAGAGGCAAATGATCAGTGAAGTTTGAGAAGCACTATGCAAGGTGCACGGATTTGGCTGCCCAACATCGAAGGATTTTTTACGTCTTTGGGTAGGCTACAGGAAAGTGCAGAAGGGCAAAGGAACGCTGCGTCCTACGACTCGGCAGAATTTTTTAGTCGCCGTTTACGAGAAAACGAAAGAACTCTTGTCACTTTTACTCGAAGAATAGAAGAAGCCATCCCAAATGAAGTTGAGGTGATCTCTGATCTAAACGAACTTGTTTTCCTTGTGAACGAACTTTCAAGGGACTTTGACAGAATTTTCGAGGACTCGGAACGTTCTACGTTTACTGCACCATCGTCCCTAAACGATCGTCTTTCAACTGTGGCTAGGAACGGTTCAGTTGGCAGACCAGGGCTACAAATCTTACAGCAACAGCTGCAAATTCTGCACAGTGACGCCAGCTTTCGTTTGGCTGATATCGTAAGAATTCTTGGATGAGAGTATTGCTTATGGCAAAATTGGTTTTGGCAAGATACAGACATGGAAGGATGATCCTTCCTTATCTTACTTTCAGTTAACAGTTGTGTTATTCTTGGGCCCACAAACCATTTTTATTCATAACTTTTCATTGGACATAAAAAAAACACATAAAATCATAATCACTAAGAGGTTGAATAAGGGAGGGCGTAACTTGAGGATTTAAGGAGAAAAATATGTTTAATTGGTACAATTATCCATGACTCCATGTTTTGCTCCTTTACTGCTAGAAATTTCTACTGCTCAAATTAATACAAAATCTCTATTAATTTCCTAAGCAGTGGCCAAGGAAAATATGCCAGTGGACCCTTCATATAAAACAATAAAATATTTAAATCTGTTTAGGTTACTCAGGAAATATTCCACGTTCAAAGTTCCAGTTTCAAGTTATTCAGCATATTAACTGTTTCGTTAACAGCATGATAAACTCAACACTAACAAAAAAGCTTACAAGAGCTCATTTACAAGGGTATAAACTTCTCTGCAATAGCGATTATGCGTGCAATGTAGCCACAGCTTTACCTCATATGTTATTGTTTTGACTGATTGCAAATCAAGACTAGATCTCAGATTTTAAGTGTTTATGCTTTGAAGCATCTAGTACATTATGCCACTATAACATCATGTATTTTTTTCCCGGCTATTCAAAGTTTTGCACCTCTTTGTATTAGTAAGGCTGTTAGATTTGATATTATAACTGATTATTGTTACTGTTTCCCATTGACACTGTCATTAGTAATTTTATTCTTGGCATACTGACATGTATAGCAGTAACCAATTTATGCTAACTGTGTTAAGAGTTCATTTCAAGTACATGAAGTTCATACTGTAAATCACGAACAGCAGTTTAAATAAAAAGAAGCAATCTGTAATACCACTTGGTAGGCTATGATTCCATCATGATTAACAGTTTGGAAGGCTGCATCTCTAGCTTCTTGCAGTGACAATTCTTGGTTATGTGTCAAAGTAGTAATTGTGTCAGGTACTGAAACTGCATGGTCACTCTGCATGTCAGGTACAGGCCCTTCTTCATCAATCCCATGATGGTCAAAATTAACAGCCTTGCTCACAATAACCCGGTTGACATCACACCAGAGATGCTCCATTCTCTGGTTATGAACAGATTTTCCAGTGATGTGGCTGCCTCTACTTAAACCTTTTTCTTTCAGCATGAAGCAAGCAACTTCTGTGTTTTTCATTTCAAGATCACTGCGAACTCTTGATGGTAAATTGTAGTGCTCAACAGCTGACTGGTAATACTGCAGTACAGTTAAAGCCCTGTTGTTGGTTGATGCCTAAAGGAATACTATCATTCTTGAAAAACCATCTAAACCACCATGAATGATAATTTTGTATGGCTGGATTAGTTTGTGGTTGCCATCAATGTGCTTGTTGGACATCATGAAGACATTTGTTCCACTACACTATCACATATAAGTTAGGTTAAAATATGGTGTGTAAAAAAAGTTAAATCTGCCTATCTGAGTAATAGTGGTAATCATATAACTAAATGATGTTCAATAAAACTAAAAGATGAGGAAGCGGAAATAGAAATGACCGGAAGTCAGATTAAACAAGAAGCCCCGGAAACTAACACTTTCAAAATGGCGGAAATAAAGGCAGTTTGAGAAGCACTATGCAAGGTGAGCGGATTTGGCTGCCCAACTTCGAAGGATTTTTTACTTCTTTGGGTAGGCTACTGGAAAGAGGAGAAGGGCAAAGGAACACTGCGTCCTACGACTCGGCTGAAATTTTTAGTCACGTTTACGAGAAAACGAAAGAACTCTAATGTCACTTTGACTCTTAGAATAGAAGAAGCCTTCTCAAATGAAGTTGAGGTGATCTCTGATCTAAACGAACTTGTTTTTCTTATGAACGAACTTTCAAGGGACTTTGACAGAATTTTCGAGGACTCGGAACGTTCTACGTTTACTGCACCATCGTCGCTAAACGATCGTCTTTCAACTGTGGCTAGGAACGGTTTAGTTGGCAGACCAAGGCTACAGATCTTACAGCAACAACTGCAAACTCTGCACAATGACGCCAGTTCTCGTTGGGCTGATATCGGAAGAATTCTTGGAATCTCCGAAAGAACTTTGTGTCATCGAAGATATGAATTTGGGCTGCCAGTTAAGTGACACCAAGCGCTGGTCAACGCCTGGTTGAAGGGAGCTTGAGGTAAAGGGGCTTACGAATCCAGCGCCATCGTATTCAGGAAACTATTCGAAGAGTGGATCTGGTTCTCCGCACTTTAAGAGCAGCGCAGCAGATAATTCGTAGAGTGTACAGTGTGCCATGCCCCAATGCGTTATGGTAAAGTAAAAGAATTCGTTGAAGTGCTATTTAGTTAACACTACCTTCTTTCTAACGAGTCTATGTCTAAAGGGGTCTCCTTTTTTAACAGGTCCCCCCTACACCATTAGAGCCCACCACCCCTCTTTTCAAAATAGTCAGGCAGTTTGTTATTTCTCTAGGGGCAACACCCCCCCTGGTGGGGCTCCTGTATAAAAAGGAGAAGGCTGCTTGTCATACTTTTTAGGGTTTAAAAATGCAGGGTTGGTACCTCTTATGGTGGTCAGTTCCAAAAGGTCCACAGTGGGAGCTTTTGTGCTACCTCTTAGGTAGGGTCTTAAACAGAAAAAAATGACAGCCAGGGTTAACTGTGTTGTTTCAGAATTTTTTCCTCTTAGGGGTGAAAAGCATATTAAGCTATGCCCATGAAACAGGATCTTGGTACCTTTCAAGGGGTGTTTTCAAAATTTGCGATAAGCACTCCTTTCCTTTTTATATGGGAGTTCCCTCCACACAGGGGCAACACTGGTTTTAAATCTGTGATACAAGGGAGGTCAGGCTGTAATTTTGATGCATGAGCATTAATGCCAATTCAACTCATGATTTGAGATATACCTCCCCTAGTTCTATTTAGCCCCCTCACTAATCACCCTAACCCAGTTTCCCATCCCCCACCTTCCCCCAATATTATCCTCAAAATTCCTGACTATCATGCCTGTTACTCATGGGTGGTCAAAAATGCCTCTTGTTGTTCTTAAGATTATTATTGTTGTTGTTGTCATTATTATTATTACCACTATTACTCAGATAGGAAGATTAAACTTTTTTTACATACCATATTTTAACCTAACTTATATGTGATAGTGTAGTGGAACAAATTTCTTCATGATGTCCAACAGGCACATTGATGGCAACCACAAACTAATCCAGCCATACAAAATTATCATTCATGGTGGTTTAGATGGTTTTCAAGAATGATAGTATTCCTTTAGGCATCAACCAATAACAGGGCTTTAACTGTACTGCGGTATTTCCAGTCAGCTGTTGAGCACTACAATTTACCATCAAGAGTTCGCAGTGATCTTGGAATGGAAAACATAGAAGTTGCTTGCTTCATGCTGCAAGAAGGAGGTTTAAATAGAGGCAGCCACACCACTAGAAAATCTGTTCATAACTAGAGAATAGAGCATCCCTGGTGTGATGTCAACTGGGTTATTGTGAGCTGCTTTTTTAACATTTTCCTCTTTCTTGAGCACAGTGGAATTTTAGATCCAACAGATGAGGTGCATCTGTTTTGTATTCATCTAGTCTACATTCCACTGATTAACGCAATTAACCAATTTATCGGTCAGTGGAATAATCATCCTGTAAGCACATAATGCAATTTCTCTCCCAATCAGCTCTGGATACAAGGAATGCTACATTTCAGAAATTCTGGGTATAAGGCTGTGACTGATGTGACTGCCAGCAAGGCTGTTAACTTATTCAATCATTATGGGATTGATGAAGAAGGGCCTGTACCTGACATGCAGAGTGGCTATGCAGTTTTAGTACCTGACACAATTACTACTCTGACACAGAACCAAGAATTGCCACTGCAAGAAGCTAGAGATGCAGCCTTCCAAACTGGTGATCATGATGGAATCATAGCCTACCAAGTGGTATTGCAGATTGATTCTTTTTATTTTAACTGCTATTCATGATTTACTGTATTAACTTCATGTACTTGGAATGAACTCTTAATACAGTTAGTATAAACTGGTATATACTGCTATACATGTCAGTATGCCAATAATAAAATTACTAATGACAATGTAAATGGGAAACAGTAACAATAATCAGTTATAATATCAAATCTAACAGCCTTACTAATATAAAGGGGTGTAAACCTTTGAATTTCTGGGAAAAAAAATACATGATGTTATAGTGGCATAATGTACAAGATGCTTCATAGTATTAACACTTTAAACCTGAGATCTAGCCTTGATTTGAAATCACTCAAAACACTAACAAATGAGGTAAAGCTGTGGCTTCATTGCATGCATAATGGCTATTGCAGAGAAGTTTATACCCTTGTAAATTAGCTCTTGTAAGCTCTTTTTGTTAGTGTTGAGTTTATCATTCTGTTAACGAAACAGTTAATATGCTGAGTAACTTGAAACTGGAACTTTGAACGTGGATCAATTTTCCTGAGTAACCTAAACGGATTTGAAAATTTTATTGTTTTATATGAAGAGTCCACTAGTATATTTTCCTTAGCCACTGCTTAGGAAATTAAAAGAAATTTTGTATTAATTTGAGCAGTAGAAATTTCTAGCAATAAAGGAGGAAAACATTCCCATAAACATATGTAAAGTCATAGATAATTGTACCAATTACAAAGATTTTTTTCCTTAAAACCTCAAGCTACGCCCTCCCCTTTTCAGTCTCTTAGCGATAATGATTCTATGTGTTTTTTATGTCCTATGAAAAATTATGAATAAAAATGGTTTGTGGGCCCAAGAATAACACAGCTGTTAACTGAAAGTAAGATAAGGAAGGATCATCCTTTCATGTCTATATCTTGCCAAAACCAATTTTGCCATAAGCAATACTCTCATCCAAGAATTCTTCCAATATCAGCCCAACGAAAACTGGCGTCATTGTGCAGAGTTTGAAGCTGTTGCTGTAAGACCTGTAGCCTTGGTTTGCCAACTAAATCGTTCTTAGCCACAGTTGAAAGACGATCGTTTAGGGACGATGGTGCAGTAAACGTAGAACGTTCCGAGTCCTCGAAAATTCTGTCAAAGTCCCTTGAAAGTTCGTTCATAAGAAAAACTAGTTCGTTGAGATCAGAGATCATCTCAACTTCATTTGGGAAGGCTTCTTCTATTCTTAGAGTCAAAGTGACAAGAGTTCTTTCGTTTTCTCGTAAACGGGACTATATATAAAAATTTCAGCCGAGTCGTAGGACGCAGTGTTCCTTTACCCTTCTGCTCTTTCCAGTAGCCTACCCAAAGACTTAAAAAATCCTTCGAAGTTGGGCAATCAAATCCGTACACCTTGCATAGTGCTTCTCAAACTTCACTGATCATCTGCCTTTATTTCCGCCATTTTGAAAGTGTTAGTTTCCGGGGCTTCTTGTTTAATCTGACTTCATCACCAGTTTGGAAGGCTGCATCTCCAGCTTCTTGCAGTGACAATTCTTGGTTATGTGTCAGAGTAGTAATTGTGTCAGGTACTGAAACTGCATAGTCACTCTACATGTCAGGTACAGGCCCTTCTTCATCAATCCCATAATGATTGAATAAGTTAACAGCCTTGCTGGCAGTCACATCTGTCACAACCCTATACCCAGAATTTCTGAAATGTAGTATTCCTTGTATCCAGAGCTGATTGGGAGAGAAATTGCATTATGTGCTTACAGGATGATTATTCCACTGACCGATAAATTGGTTAATTGCATTATTAATCAGTGGAATCTAGACTAGATGAATACAAAACAGATGCACCTCAACTGTTGGATCTAAAATTTCATTGTGCTCAAGAAAGAGGAAAATGTTCAAAAAGTGGCTCACAATAACCCAGTTGACATCACACCAGAGATGCTTTATTCTCTAGTTATGAACAGATTTTTCAGTGATGTGGCTGCCTCTATTTAAACCTCTTTCTTGCAGCATGAAGCAAGCAACTTCTATGTTTTCTATTCCAAGATCACTGCGAACTCTTGATGGTAAATTGGAGTGCTCAACAGCTGACTAGAAATACTGCAGTACAGTTAAAGCCCTGTTATCGGTTGAAGCCTAATTTGATTTTGATTAATTCATTTCTACAGTGCTTTTGTCATTTACCTGGAGTAGGAGGGCAACTCCAACTCCATCCTGTTTTCAGTCACTCACTTTGAGTGTGTACTCTCGGTTGTCTAGTGACTTGCAATTCATTTCAAATTTCACTTTTTAATACTTCCTTTAAGTTTGCAAGGTGCATGTAATGATGACCACAGTTGCTGTGGGTGGTTGTTGGGTAAATTGTGCTAAGTTATCATTTTTTTCCCAGGTCTGGTTATTGGCTTTCTCATAAAATATCTTAGTGGAAATAAGAGAGAGGCAGTTACTCACACAAACTGTACCATAAGTACTGCACCAAAGAAGCTGTATATCAGCACTTCAAATGCTTCACTGTATTCATGTACATTGTCTGGAGTAGTGCTGAATTCCGGCATTGATCAGGGAAGTGAGCTGATGCAAATGGTAGGTACAGGGAAGAAAATTTACATGCTGATGATAAACTAATACAAGATTTCTTACATTTTTTTTTTTGTTTTTTAAGTGATTCAGTTCAAAAAGTAATATGTTTGCAATCTAATTACTATTTTTTAAAAGCAGTGGTGCATGAAGGTCTATCACAAAAGAGATAGAACAGGAAAAACAACCTCAAAATCAGTGGAATGAAACTGCACACGTCATGTTATGTATGCACATGCATACATAAGGATTTTTACCATCATAAGAGCTCTTTAAGAATTAAGTAGGACTTGTGCATGTGCTTTTTTATAATACTGTAATGTACACACCTTGAATCAAGCAAGTCTTTTCATCAAACAAACAACAGTATGACACAAATCAAACTAGTCAACTGCAAGTGTTTTATAGTGAAAAAAAAAGAAAAGACATATTTTGCTCCCATGACAAATGGAAAGTACAGGTAAGAAAAATAAGTTAGAGTATTGAACCCTTTTCAACAGTATAAATATTCTCCATAATATTCTCTATAAACTTCCTAACATGCCGACAATGAGAATTTGTTTAACAATCAATAGCTTCTTTGGTTGGTGATCTTTCCTTTATTCTAATGACCTTAATGTTGGATTCAGGGGTAACATTGTAAGGAGATATTAAGTACTAGTCACTTTAAGAGGTCAAAGGGTGAAATACATTTACTGTTTTTAGAGAAAAAACCATGACATGCTGGGCACAAAGGATCTCAGAATTTTTGCTTAATATATAAATGATCATTTAGTATCAGAAAGAAATACTTTGTTGATCAGAAATGAGAGTTGAAAGCCTTTTGAAATGTACATTTTACATTTTTCTTCTTTTTTTTCCTGCAGGCTGTATTTGATCCTGAAATATTTTTCTATGTTCTACTGCCACCAATTATTTTCTATGCTGGATATGACATGAAAAAGGTAATAACTAAGTTAACTTTTATTATAATCTACATGTAAATAAAGTTCACATCTCTGCATTTACATAATTATACAGTAGTATTAAAGCACGCTCATGTCGCTTAAGAAAATTATTAAGAGCAAACAGAGCAAGCTCCATGACCTTCTTCCTGCTCATATAATCAGTACTTTGAACCTAAGAAAAAAATGAGAGTTTAGGCCCATATTCAAGAGGAAAAAAATTTCCAATAGTTTTCTCACTTTAATGACCCTAAATCCTAAACTATTTTACTAAAATTTTATATTCATTTGACATATTTAGTTTACAAACGCGACAGATATACAAACAAATTTCTCTACAAACTTGCTTCAAACCACTAATAGTTCTTTTTAATGTTATTATTGCTATAAACTTTGGTAATAATTGTATTATTCAAGTTTTTAGTTTCAGAGAAATTAAATTATAAGTAAACTTTTTATTTGTTTATCTTTCACACCTTCTTGTTTGGAATAAGTACAACATTATACAGATTATTATTGTATATCTATAATACACTTGCAGCGCTTTTTCTTCCGGAACATTGGTGCCATCCTTACATATGCATTTGTTGGAACAACCATCTCATGCATGGTGTTTGGGTGAGTAGATTTGACTAGATTTAGTACGTACACCGTACTGTGTAACTCAAAGATAAGCGGTGGATATCAAAGACTAGCACAGTACCATACCCTCATCTGAAGTGTATGTATTTGTGTACAGACTGGTAATAAAACATGTTAAGATGAAGTATATGTGCTACTGTTATTCATTGTTATGTATCTTTTCCTTGTGTGCCATTGTGATCCACAACTAAAGAGATGGTAATATGAAAGAGCTGGTCCACAAGCATGAAATTCATGAAATAATTATGAAAATTGCCGTGTACAAATTGTTGAACAGATGTGCGGGTTAATTTGGAATCTGTTATACTTTTCTTTAAAGTTAAGAAAGAAATGGCTTATGAACATTAAGCACTTGCTGCAACAGTGCAGCTCTAACTTTTTGTTTGATTATATAATAGTATTAAACAGGAATAGTAGCTGATGAGGAAACAACAGCCACATCCCAGAAGTCTCACAAATTTAAACTGCAAAATAGCTTGTTCTTTGATTAAAACAATTTTAATTTCTTTTCAAATAAGTCAAGTCTACAATGATTGTAATAAGAAGGCAAAGAGTGATTTTGACATTGCAAATACATATGTCATTGATTATTTGAAATGTTAATTATTCAAAAGTGGTGTTTCGCAGCTGCTAGATTTTTCACCACTTGATCAGTCTGCATGGCTACCCTTCTTTCTTTTCTTCTTTGCCTTTGCTCTATAGCAAGGAAACAAAATACACTTCTAACATGTTAACTAATATTATCAGTTTTTCCTCATAAGTCATTTTAAAAAATTGGTTCAATTTAACCAATCACTTTCTTCTCAGGCACTTTAAGTTTCCACCAATACGTAACTTACTCTGTTATGAATACAAAATGACACTTGCACGCGAATAAGATTGAAAACTGAACTAGTGTAGCATATACCTATGTACTCTTACTTGAAACCAATAGAGGAGCATATGTAGTGTGCATGCATTAATTAGAATTAAATCTCAAAAACCAAGGTACTGTAGTTATGCAGATAGGCTTCATTGTCCTAAGTAAGAATTGCAGACTATATATACCGTAGTTATTCAGTTATAAGGCGCACGGTTTTTTCAAGAAAAATCTGTCTTTAGGTGGCAAATTAGTTCTAAAATTGGGGTGCGTCTTATAGCCAAGTATTTTCGCACAACAAAATCTTAAGATCACAATTTGAGAAGAACTTACAGTTTAAAAAACACCAGAACAGGACACTAGTTGTTAGTCATTGACTTTTATAGATTTGGTGGTTCTGAAAAGAACCGGGGTGGCTCTGAAAAGAGCCGTTGAGGTGGTTGTTGTGTTGTTTGTCTTGTCGCCTAGTCTTCCTGCTCGCTGTCCGTGTCGAACTCGTTCTCTAACTCGTCGTCTGCTTCATCAGCTCCAGCCCCTTCTGCTAACCATTTTCCTGAATCAAATTACTCAGCTTGGTCCTTAAGGACTGCAATGTTGCAGCCTTGTTTTCAGGCACCTTCTTTTTGGACTGGTCACCTGTGGACCCTGACTCCCTCAGTTAAACTTGCGGCAGCTTTGCAACCACAGAAAGTTCTAAATGAAATTCCATATGTCATGTGTGAAAAGAAGTACAATCATGACAACTAAAAGCTCCAAGCAAAATTAGGAATAGAGCTCACTAATTACATACAGTTCTTTTATCAGTGCAGTGATAAAATTATCCTTAACATCACTGACTTGACCAAGTTCCCAGTTTAAATCACCAGACCTTACCCTTCGTATATGGTACAGGCAGTTAGTTTATTGATGTAAAATCACTGATTTGCTGGTATTCAATTGGGAAACATCAAAGTAATTATGGAATTGTGGCTCCATTATTCAAATAGATACTAACTGATAAAGGATTGCTTTAATCATTGCACTAATTATCTGAAGGTTTTTTAAATGGCCTTTCATAAATACCATTTTTATTAGAACAAATATATATAACTGAAATACCAACCTGCAATAGTGTGCACAATGTTTTGGTCTAGTTCATGGAACCTTTTGCTGTTCAGCTCCTCTTTTTTGTAAAAGAACATCAGGATCATCCTGAAGGATCATCAACAACACACTGCAAGTAATTTGCGAGTTTAAAACATAATGAGTATGGCAATTAATAGTGTATATAATGTTTCGAAGCGCCTTTGATGCTTTTAATCTGCCCTGATCTACCAGAAAATCAAGATTACTCATCTAAAGCGGCTAGAATCATCCACTTAATCACGTTGCAAATTCACACTTCTTAAGTGAATATGTCATTCAAAAATGGGTGACTCCGCTGGATTCTCTCATCTAAAGACTCTCCCTATTGCTCTGATCGGTACTACACTTATATTGGCTTTGAACTCTAAAGGATCGACTTTTGACTTGCAGTGTAAGAATGACTGCAAATATTCGCAAACTCTTGACTCTTTACTCAAAAACATTCCTCAAGGAGGGCCTCAATGGGGTTCACCGTAAGCTGTTAAATGGCTGAAAATTTAGTCGTTAGGCGTTAAAATTGAGTAATTTTAACCGTTAGTAGAAAAACAAGTTAACAATGGAAAAATTGTGTTGACAACGATGGCAAGACATTAACTGTTAGCCATAAATCAGCCAAAATTTTAATTGTTAGCTGAAAAAGTTATCATCCATCAAGGCTCCCCTCATTGTCAATTATTCGTTTGAGGGAAACGCGGCAAATTCCAGAGCAAAAATATATGTCACACCTATTAAAGACAAAGTTCGTCGCAATTAGCTGTGTTTGTAATTTTAATGATTTCTACACGCTAGCTCTTGACAGCTGGCTTCAAAATGGCTTTCGTTAAATTTCTTTCGCATGATTTGAGGATTGTTCGACTCGTCTGGATTTGGAAAAGTTCTGCGAACTACAAATAATTAAACCACGAGGCAGGCGTCTAGCAAAGAGCGTTTCCAAATTGATTGTCAGTTCTCGCAATGCGGTTGGCTGCGGCTTTTACCAATATACCTCGCAATTACGCGTCAATTTCCGGTCAAAATGGCGAGATAATTACTTCTTTCCTTTCGAAAAAACAGTCCGCATTTTTAATTTGCAAAAAAAAAAAAAAAGCAATTGTTTTTTCCTTCACGCGATTCAAGAACGATTTATTTGCAAACTTAATTCATTTAAAAGATTCTGTGAAAGCTAACCTAGAAATGTCTTGTCAGGCTATACATTTTCCAACACATAAATGACATGAGCAACTCACCATGAATAGATAAAATTTTGCCTTCCCAAAGTTCTGCTTTATACTGCATTACACTGCGTCTCCCACTGCAAAGCCGTCCCAAGCAGTCACTGATCGTGAGGCTAAAGCCTCCAATTGCGTCGGATTTAATGATACATTGCCAGTGTTTGACCATTCAACAACTAAATAATTAGCCATCTACCGGTGGCCGGTGACAAGAAGAGGAAAAAGAAAGTGTGAAAACCAAGAAACTTGATCAAACCGGGCCTAGATATGTGGTTTGGGTACCGCGTTTATTATTTGAATCTGAAATCTTTTCAACTAGCTCACAAAACGAACCTCCCATACAAGTAAATTTTTATAACCTTTAACTTGCTTGAAGTTCTTTTTCAAGACAGTGACTTAGTGTCCGGCAGAAATGAACATAACACGCGAACCACGACTTTCATGCTGCTGATTTCCTGTTTGAACTTTTTCGAATTAAATCCTCGCATTTCTGCCTGTTCGGCAGCACTAGAACTCGTCTCGTCGAGAATGGTCTATTTATCTCTGCGCTCAGAAACATATTTTGATTAAACAAGTGTATATGATTTATAAAAGAACCTTAGGATCGTTCTTTTTTCATATGATAACAGTTGGAAACACGCCGGAAAGGTCTTTTGCGTGATTCAATTTCAGCCTAAAATAAAATGCTTATCACTTGGACATTGAAAAGGTGATTTACCACTATAAACCATGAGCATGAATGTATCACGTAACTTTCAAATTAGGGAGTTCTTTTGCTGTTCTCTCAAAAGACTAGGCGATTAGCTCCACAGTTCTTACAAAATGCGCACTGCAACCGCAGAAAGAACGGACGGATCATGTTCGATCGCTTTTTCGCGCCCTTTTTTTTCTTTTATTAAGTCCCGGAAGTCAACCTCTAAGCAGAAACTTCAAAGGAAATGAGTGAGCGGCGAGGATACAAGCGTTCCACCTACAAACAATGGCTTCACGATTCTTCTCAGACAAACCCCGAGGTTACAAAATGGCGCGAGGAAAAGAAAAACGTTTGTCTCTCTACTGACCTAAATGGAGAGGGCTCCGCATGGATCGACGACGACCTGGCTCGAAGAGATTGACAACACTCAGTGCAGTCGTCCTCAGTTTGATCTTGATTTTGACAAATGCTCTAGCTGCATTACTGCTACCTCTCAAAATCAAGATGTTGATACTGAAAGTGTAGTCACCAGTGCCACATCAGATTTTAATTTTAATGACGATGATTCTCTGACAAAGATGCTCGGCAGTATAATGGAAACTGAACAAAGATAGATGCAGGTGGAAACAGCTAGTTATAGCTTTGACATGGACTTCCCATATTAACTTTTTACTAGCCTTTAAAAAGGTAGCTTTTGGCTATATTTTATATTTTCAGTATGGTGGAGAAAGGTAGTTTTTATATAGACTATCTTTTAACTTTGTACATTAAAGACAGGTTTCAGAGAGGCTATGAAAGAGGTCATGAAAATGAAGATAGTGTTCAGATAGCCTAGCTTTTGACTAGCCATAGTGAAGATAGCTTTTAGATGGGTTCCCTCTTTTTATTAAGAGTTGGTTAGTTGAGAGATATGCTAACTTTGTACTATCTACTGAGTAGGGATAGTAAAAGGATAGTCTAACTAATTGCTATCTGTCAGAAGGATAGACATCAGTTAGCTTTAGGGTAGGTTAAAGATAGCAACTACTATCTGCAAATTCATGTGGATAGTAATAACATAGCGTTTTCCTGAAGTGAACTAGTAATCAGATAGTGGCAACTATCCTAGAGCTAGTAATAAACTAGGAAAAAGATATGGTCAATTTTGGGAGGGAACCTTTTTATACCAATCCTAGAATAAAGTAAAGCAAAACCAAAGCAATGCTGGATAAATAAGGAAATTTGCTTTTAAAGTTTAAGAAATTCCTTTAATATACTTTTACAATACTTCTTTACAGTACTTATTACCAACTGCTGTTTAATGTATTTGTTCTGTCTGATAAACAGGGGGACAATGTATGCCTACACAAAGATTTATCCTCATCATGTAGACAAAGATTTTGATTTCCTGGAATGCCTTTTGTTTGGAGCTCTGATATCAGCCACAGATCCAGGTATGTTGGTGTGAATCATTCAAACTGGCTGATAATAATGGTAATTTACTGTGGCATATTTTGTATGTTTGGATGCCCTTATATGGTAAATTATTGTAGTTCCACAAAACAGGTGTATATGGTTTCCTGAGTTTCATGATGAGTACACTGTGTCCTATTTTCAAAAAAAGTTAACTGCTCAACCCCAGCCTACCAGATGTTCCATTTCAATTTATCTTTCTATGCTATGATAGAATTAATCTGATCAAAATGCTCACGGTATGAATTTATTATCTTTATTTGCTTTTAACTCCCAATAGCCTGAACTTCCCATTGCTCAAACATTTTTAGTTTCTCTCGAAGTTTCAAATGATTGGGAGGCAACTCTACTCCATCACTAGTTGTTAAAAGTAGCTCTTTTCCATTACCCCTCTCCCCCTTCATTCCCCAACCCCTCCCAGTGTTGATTCTCTTGTTTGCACCTTTTGTAGATCCACCATAAACTCAAATGTAATATTACTGTGATTTGTTTTGCAGTAACAGTGCTGGCTATTTTTCATGACCTGCATGTGGATGTGGATCTGTATGCTTTGGTGTTTGGTGAAAGTGTCATGAATGATGCTGTGGCAATTGTTCTCTTCAGGTAGGAAGCAGTGTGGGTCAAAATTCGGATTAGATATTTATTGTTTTAACTAATAGAATTATTTGTGTCAAGTGCACAGCACAGTTGATGAACCAGTAATTGCTCACTCTTTACAAACAAAGAAAACTACTATAAGTTTTTTCTTGATGATATTAAAAACAAATCAAACACAGTGCTTGGGGCAGCTCTTGTGATAGGAAAATAGATTATACAGCAACTGTAAAGAGTATGTTGAGTACAGATATTGCCATCTCAATTCTTACAACATGTTTGACAATTACTTAAAGGTATCTTGGGCTGTAAAGTAAAAAATTTCAAGGCAATTTGACTGAGAAACAATGGATTGGAAGACCCATTGAGCCACCTCCTAAATTGTCCACGGTTAAATCATGAGTTATTAATTTCTTTATAATTGAGTGTGAACTTAACATTTACTTCTCTCAACACAAGGAATTTTTTGTGAGAAGAAGTGCAACTGAAACATACCTGTACATGTATCTTCATGCAATGTCAAGTATGGTTTGAATTAACAAATCAAGAAGCCTTGACTGTGCTCTCTTCTCTTGTAAAGCACGCAGGAAGCGGCTAGAGCACGAAAGAAGTGATCAGGGAAACATGAGACGTAGTCAAATATTTCTCCCTTCTTCTTTAGTAGCGAGAAGTCTGGGAAATGGTCTGACATAGTGCAAATTGGTAACTGGCACGACAGCTTTAGCTCAGCTTTTTGTTTTGTACTATCACTGGTAGTAGCACGCTCTTTCAACCAATGACAGTACGCATTATATCCGAACTTTTTTTATAAATGAATTAAATACAAATTCGAAGTCTCGATTGTTCTTTAATACTGCTTGCCTTTGCAGATCTGTGGAGACATATGTGTTGGATAGCGCAGGCACTGGATTTCAAGTTGATAAGTTCTTTGAGTCAGTGGGTGTCTTCATTGGTGTTTTCTCGGGTTCGTTCTTTCTCGGTTTTGTTATGGGTCTTGTTACTGCTCTTGTATCCTTACAAAAGTTTATTCAACATAATTATAAACAATGGAGGATAAAATATTGGGACACTTACGGAATCTTACAAAAACAAAATCCTTCCCCCCTCCACTCCCCCCTCCCCCCCCCCACAAAAAAATGATGAATTTTGTGTTCTTTGAAAATTTTACTGAGATGCGGTGACTATTTTTGTTTTGCGGGAGGGGGGAGGGAGAGGGGAGGTTCTGCATTTATGCCTGAATTGGCAAAAAGTGTTGTTTTGTATTATATTTGGATATGGAGTTTGTTGTCAATATCTGTCCCAAGGAGTTTTGATGTTCATTATGAACATTTTGTGGTTTTAGACCCTTGACATCACAACAAAAACAGGTGACAAAACTCACCAAAATCTCAGAATTTCCTCTCTTAGAGACGGCTTTGTTCTTCCTACTGTCATGGACCACATTTCTTATGGCAGAGGCAGCCAATCTAACAGGTAAGTGTCTAAAAGTTCATTAAATACTAAGATGATGGAGAAAACCTTATTATCTAGGTAATCACGGTGAAAATAATGTTAGGAATGTAGTAAATAAAGGAAGCACCAGTTAATACTTCTGCATATTTATCTTTATTATAATAAATTTGAAAATTATTACTTCTCATTTAGTAACATGCAAAAAGACACCTGATGGATATTTTGTCATTAAAGCTCGACTATTAATATAATTGTAACCATTGAAATTTCCTCAAATGTGATTGGTGTAGTAGCTACTTTATTTTTCACTAATTATTCTGTAGAGTTGTAATTGGACAGTGTAAGCGAACAGTTGGCTTTACATTCTGTAATCGAACACCTGTATTAAGACAGTTAAGGCAACCAATCATATTAGGTCAACTCAGCTAAATTTACCAATCACAGAATTGATTGCCTGCAATCATACTCGTAATTATTAAATCAAATGGTCGTGTGATTGTTTGAACACTCGCGTGATTACAGACTGAATTGGACTCCACTCAGTCCTACATGTATTGATATTTTATGTGTATTATTATTGTCATCATTAACATTACTGTTATTATTTTCAGTTATGTACATTGTTGTTGAAACTGTGCAATCACTTTCATGCTATTTCCCTCTAGGAATTGTTGCAGTTCTTTTTTGCGGAATATCTCAAGCTCATTACACATATAACAATTTGTCAGAGGAGTCAAAACAGAACACAAAACAGGTACTGTACTTTTAATAACTTTGGCTTGTCATTTACATGTGAACCGCACTGATCCTCAAAACATATTTTTTTAATATTATTTTGTTTAGCTTCAGGAAAATCATACACTACATGATACCGGGAAAAGTAAATTATACACCGCATTCGATGGTCTAACAAATAACACTCAGTAGCAGCAATGAACTAAATATCCGCTCGCATTATGTGATTTAATTCCACTATTATTTCACTATTTAGTACCTTGATTCGAGTTTTGCGAAATACCTCCTACCGCCTTATCTTTGCATCATATCGATTGCATAAAGAGTACGCAAAAGACGAAAGGAACACGAACGAAACCGCTACTGTGTTTTTTTGGGACCAAAAAAATATCTGTCGCGCTTAAGACTTCGTTTGTTTAAACATGAAGTCTAAAAAACGAAAAAAAAAAATCAAAGTTTGGGTCGCTCAGTGCGGTCACTGTGTTGGTCCGTAGTTTTGCCCTGTTCTGTAGTGAAATGCTGTGGAATAATAGATCTCTCACAGCTCTCTCTACCAAAAATTACAAAGCTAACCTTCATATGTTTTCCAACATTTCTTTGCAGACGTTTGCATTCTTAAATTTTCTAGCGGAGAGTTTTATATTTTCATACATGGGGTTATCTGTCTTCACCTTTCAACATCACCAGTGGAATATTGGATTTATATCATGGACATTTGTATCTTTTTTATTATATTGAAGTGGTGACTGGGAAAGTAACACCTAACACTTATAACTTCTGATCGTTCGAAAATGACGTTCAATGAACAACGTTTTGATTATTTTGAGGCATTTTGACGGGGCTGTGTTTCTGGTTTGAAAAGAAAGATTGAGAAATAAAACAATAGCTCCCATGTGAATCTGTAGAAAACATTTTTAAACTGTTAGCTTTTTAAATCAATTGTTTGTTTCTCTATTTTATTATTAATTTTTAAAGTTTAAGATTTGCGATACTATGAATAATTTTCACAAATGGGCTTAATTGAATCAGAGCTACATGTAGAAGATGTGAAGAGCTTTGAAGAGCGGTTAAAAATCGGAGATTAAAGCAAGGGTACTGTATTTTATGTTGAGAGAGCAGAATCTTTTGTTTCTGTGCTCACTTTTTGTGTCTTAATTTATTGCTTAGAAGTTTAATTGGCCAATCAGTTTGAAAGGATCGTTAAGCTAATGAATGTTGTGTACCGCAAAGGTACCTACAAAAGCATGCAACAGAGACAATTTCTTGGTTTTCCCTTCTTCTTGCTGTTGTTCACCAATTGATACAGTTTGTTAAAGATTAACATACCTAAGCAAGAGCCTACTTGGGTCATGCTGTAATGATATCTTACTGATTGAACGTTCCTTAGCCAATCATCGGTTACTGATTCTTAACTGTTTGATGTACAGCTTGCCATGACTTTGGGAAGGCTTTTAAACGTTTATCCATTGTCGTTTTTACTTAATATGAGAAGGCACAGAAAGATTAGTTACAAATTTCAACATATGATGGTGTTTGCAGGTGAGTAATCTGAAGGTTGTTTTTCAAGGAAAAGAATGTAGAATTAGGGTATCATTGTTGATGATGGTCAGTGCACTGAGTGGAGTACAATTCGATCTGAAATCATTCGAGTGATCAACAAAATTGGACAACAGCGAAACGGGAGTTCGATTTGTTAACTCTGTAGAAAATAGAAATAGAATTGGAAGAAACAAAATCCTATTCGAAATTTACCCATAGAGTACGAGCAGTCCCCCCTTTTCGGCGAAGTCCATCGCGCGATTCAAAAAACAATTGATGTTAGCGCGTCCCAAGAGCTGTTGGAGTGACATCGATACAAGTATGTATCAAAGATTGTGATACACTGTGTGTTAAACCTCTTTTATGAATAAAAACAAAACACGAGATAATGAATTGGTGTAGAGTTCGTGTTGTTAAACGCCCGAATTTTTCTACTTAAAATGGTGGTAAAACTGAATTAAGCTTACTCACGGAGAACTCGGGGGATTAATTTCAAATCACTCGAGGGTGTGGCTGTCGCTTTTTTCAGAGTGACAGACTCAACTGTAACTACCGGAGGCATTTTACTGAGTTGAGTCATGCCTGCTCACTCAGGATTTGACGAGGTATTAAGTGCTCTTTTTTACTTACAATCTTCCATAAATGTATCAGTGTAATTTTACACCTTTTATCCGTTCAATGAAGGTTTGCGAGGTGCCGTTGCATTCGCTTTGGCCATGCGCAACACGGAATCAGTTCCTCGTCAGATGATGTTGACGTCAGTACTAATTGTGGTTTTTGTAACTGTTATTTTCAATGGAGGTACTACCGTGTGGGTACTCTCACTTTTGAAGATAAGGTAGGTTACTGTTTTAAACATAAAGCAACGAAATCCAATAACAGACATGTCCATTCACAGAAACTCGTTAAAGTTCTTTTGAAATCACCTCTGATCGTTGCAATCTGATTTGATCCCAGTGTTCCAAATAATTCGCTCGTCACTCCTCTAAGAATAGCTACACTTTTTCTAAAAGAAGATATATATTTTTTCAAAGAATCAAGTTTTTTTTTTCTTTCGACGGAATCACAGTATACGTAGTGCGATCTTTAGTGGGTTCTGTTGCTTTTGAATCCAATTTTTAAAGTAAACATGTTCCATTTGTTCTTCAGAAAGGATGTAAAGCCTGAAGAAGAAGAAGAAGAAGAAGAAGAAGAAGAAGAAGAAGAAGAAGAAGGAGGAGGAGGAGGAGAAGAAGAAGAAGAAGAAGAAGAAGAAGAAGGAGGAGGAGAAGAAGAAGAAGATGAAGAAGAAGAAGAAGAAGAAGAAGAAGAAGAAGAAGAAGAAGAAGAAGAAGAAGAAGGAGAAGAAGAAGCTAGGCTGCGTGCCTATGCTTTGGTGAGCACTGTAGTTTCTTTCCGTTTAAGTGTGCAAACTTACTTGCCTTTATAAAGCAACGATGGTTAATTAACTTGAAGAACACATAAATAGAGAATAGAGTTGGGACTTCTTTGTTTGTGGAGCAAGGCGATGAATCCGTTTCTAGCTGAATTTTGTTTTTATCTATCTCTTCTGTTATTACCACTTTCACCATCTACTAGCAAAGTTAGCCATCGCATTATTTTGCCTCGGGTCGTCAAATGTGCTGTATTATTTTCCTTGTTACAGTATGTTGGGTCTCGCAGTTGTGCTAATTTTACGTCACGACTCTGTTCAGCCCTCCTCTGGCTACAAATGATTGTTTCGTTTATACCCTATAAACGACGTTTACCGTCGATTGCATCATCCCTTCCATGCACATAAAAAAGAAAAAAAAAACATGCACTGTTGGCGTACCAATCTTAAATTTCTCAACAGTGAAACTTCAAAGTATTCCAACCCATTTGGGTGAAGTTTATGCATTTCCTACCCACTTGAGAAGGTTTTCACGCTTGTTGATAGTGGTCGGAAATGGCAGTTGCGCCAAACAAGGCCAAAATGTAAACTTGAACTCTCTGCCTTGATTGTTTGTTTGTTTTTTTTTTTGTTAATTTATTTGTTTGTTCCACCAACCACCGACTTACAAAATCAAGAGATTAAATCTCCCACAGCTAGATAACAACAAGAAAAAGAACGTTACCTAACACTCAAATCACAGTTTCAGTGGAAAAATATTTGCATACATTCCATAGACCTCTTGGTACACACTTTGAACTTTGGCTCTCAAAACGTTGAAGTTTGATAGGCCAACGGAATATGTTGCCATCACGTGCATGGAAGGGTAGATGCAAAGGACGGTACCTGTAGAAAGAGGTGTTAAGTTAGGCATTAAAGAATTAACCAAAAATACTAAATTCAGAAGGTTGTTGTAAGCCTGTGCCTTTTTAATTTGATGAAATTATACTGTCGAGTCACTTTGCTTTCTTTTCTGCTTATTTCTTTTATTTTTATTATTATTATTATTATTATCCGAGCTTGTTTGTAAACAATTCAAGTTCTTTTCGCTTAGTTTGTACTTGTCAATTATTGTGTTGTCATCAGTGAACGTTCTTTTCTTTTTTTTATGTTCAAATCATGTAAGAAGCAGTTGGGATCTTTAGAAAGTGGTATGACTTTGATGTAAAATATCCTTTTATGAAAGAGTGCCATTTCTTGCGTTGCATTTCATTGTGCTTTTGTAACCTTCGCGAGATTGATGCTGTTGTGTACAGCAAAATACACCGTGCATGTCAGAAACTTTTTTATTGAAACAGCTCAACAAATTAAACTCGTTTGTTTTCGTTTGTGTATGGAGGTTTCGCCCATTTCAAGTTGGCCTCTACCCTCTTTAAGAGTACGCCCCTGAAGCAAAGCAGGTTCGCCTCCACCTATACCAATTTTATGTCAGGGATGGAAATATTGGGGAGATTATTCTTACGCCCATTTCAAGTACGCCCTGTACCATTTTTGAGAGTTTGCCCCTAAGGCAAAGCAGGTTCACCCTCACCTTTACCAGTTTCATGTCATGGGTGGAACTATTGGGGAGATTATTCAATGCCGACCAATTCAGTTCTGGAATGATTATGTGTTTTGAGTGGATAATCGCTATTAACTTTCATATCGAGTTTGTTTTAGTTTTTATCCCATAAACTCGGTGAAAAGGTCTCAACGATGATTGTTGTAAACACTATCAGAATGGAGTCAAGATTCCTAATTTGTTGGTTAGTGCGTTAATTTTCTTTTTAGAGCAGATCGCACGAATGGGTAATTTTACGAAACCGTTGGGTGATTGGAAACTCAGAGTTTCTTGTAGGGCCATTTGAAATGCCCCTAAAACGAACTGAAGTACACGTCTACGATCATTTCTCATGTTAATGAACGTAAGAGTGTTCTCTTGAGGGCTCCTGGTAAATTTTTGATAAAGTTTAACTCGCCCTCTTTATCAGAAATTGAAACCTTTTCAACAGAATTTCTACATTCTGCTTTCGCGTTTTGAAAGAATGGCCTTGATTAAGCTTCCATAAGGCATAGACTCGCAAGGAAGACGAGCTATGTGTCTGCAGTAAATATGCACTCTGCAGAAGCCATTTTGTAAAACAGAAATGTTTGCTCTGCTACCAATACGAGGCGCGGTAGATCAGCCGGTAGTGACCAACCAATATCGGGGGTCCAATCTTTGCTTAATTTATTAAATTTCTTTACCGACTTATTTATCTGCGTTGGCTCAGTTTTATTTGACGCGCGAAGATAGGTTCGTGACAAGAAGTGTTGCTAGTGTAATTTGATTAAAAATTTTATCCAGCCTCCGACAAACGAAAGAGAATGGGAAGAAGGAATAAAACCGCTTCCCTTTTTGGTACAGAGTAGAGCACGTTGCATTGGGGGTCTTTTTATTGGTCTAGGGTAAATGCAGTGAAAGCGAGACTTACTTTCACTTCCTTGACAAACTTTACGTATATGAAACCTATTTTTACCAACTCTGGCCCGCCTCTGACAGAGATTTTACCGGGATGATGCGGTCCTCTTGCAAGATTCCTCACAAGATCGCGGCCTGATGTAGAGGTACTGTTTCAAATTTGGGCAGAGGGTTTTTATAGATAAATGAACGTTTAATCGTTTGTGTCATGGGGTAAGAGTCAGGCTAATCAATCGTGTGTTGATCGCGACGTTAAGACTGCTACACTGCTAGTCTTTGTCAGGCGACGAGGTTGGTAGTTTACATTTTTCTGTTTATAGTACCTTACCTTGTTATTTTGTTATGGGTGAATCACGGCGCGTTTTTATTAGTGCTTTTCGATCGTCATTGCCATTCCGTCTATTAGATGTTTGGCCCTCATTGATGGGTTTTGTTTCTGATCGGCTCTCATGGTTTTTGATAGTTTGCATTCATGTTACAGGGATTTCGATTCCGTTATCCCTACTCTTTTTGTAAGGATAAAGCCTTATGTGAGAGGCCTCTTTAACCCTTCCTGTGTACCAGGAAAAGTTATGATCAATAAACCGAACCTGGTCCTTAACAGAAACGTGTCCTGTTTCAATGTTGTGTTCCGAAATCGCCGAGTTGTGAGCGCGAGCAAGCGCTATATCTCTTTCATGGTTTTTAATTCTCTCTTTCATCGCAACATAAGTGGAAAATTTTCAAAACGTACATTATATGTAGCTGTACGTAACAGATGTAGTTTTTGACATGTTTCGCTAGAGAATATGTGCGTGCGAGTCACCCTTGTAGTGTAACTCACAGGGAGATTAAGTATAAATATGGTGTGTCACTGCAAATGTTTTGCATTACTTTCGTATAATAACGTTCATCCATTTACACCGCCATTTGCAACCGTAAGTAAACAACTATAGGTGTGTACTCCAGCCTGCAGTGCAGGCGTCTCATTAGGGCGGATTAACGTTAACAAGCGCGCAAAAGTTTATTCAACCGTAAAGACAACTCTTTACGGTTGCCAATTTACATAATCAACTCATTTGATAATATTTGCCTTGCTAAGCTCTTACGGCTTTTGTTTCAACGTAGGCAGAAATTGCGGAAGGAGAAGTGGGTTTAGCCATCGAAGTTATGGTCATCCCTGCCGAAGGCATTGTAAGTAAACAACTATAGGTGTGTAAGTAAACAACTATAGGTGTGTACTCCAGCCTGCAGTGCAGGCGTCTCATTAGGGCGGATTAACGTTAACAAGCGCGCAAAAGTTTATTCAACCGTAAAGACAACTCTTTACGGTTGCCAATTTACATAATCAACTCATTTGATAATATTTGCCTTGCTAAGCTCTTACGGGTTTTGTTTCAACGTAGGCAGAAATTGCGGAAGGAGAAGTGGGTTTAGCCAACGAAGTTATGGTCATCCCTGCCGGCGGCATTGTGAACAATGGTGAGCCGCCTGATCAGATCATGGAAGGAGACCTTGAATTAGGTGCTGTGCAAATGACAAGCAGAGTATAAATCATTTTCATTCCACCAAAGGTTTCTGTAAGTATTTAACTACAACAACGACAGCCAAGATCCAGCCTCAGATAAGCACTTATCTGTTAGTTCAGAAGTTAAAATTAAACCTTCTTGTCCTGGTGAACTAGGATCACGTCTAGGAAAAAGAATTAGTTTTTTCCTTCCATTAAAAGTGGAATTGCTTCTGGCATTGTCAGGTATGGAGGCCTCGATTATTCAGCAACTTCATGCAGCCCATGAAAATTTCGGAGCCTATATCCTGCGTACCAGATTCTAACTCTAGCCTCCCATGTAGTCGTCAAGGCAGACTCCCCTTTTTTTAATCAGGCATTTCGTATCGATTTCTAGTCTCTTGGTCTGGTCAGGTAGTTGAAACAGGATGTTGACTTAAAGAAGAGCTTAAAAACTGTCTCTTTTTACAGTGAAAAGCACTGATTGTTAGCTAACTGTCTTGAATTGCTAAATTGTAAATAATAAGTTGTTTGGAATACGTGCTTTGGCCAATTAAGGCCAATTAATTGGGTCGGTCTTATGTAGTCTCGTAGAAGTTTAGAGGATCCTGCTCCTCGTGATTAGTGTTATGTCATCATTGACTTTTGTACACTCTGAGTGCAATTTTTTTAACCCCTTTATTGAATGTACAATTTTGAATTAGTCTTTCCTCTCGTAACACTATATTCGAGAGGAATAATGTCTTGATGGTTTGAAAACATGTTAAGTTCGAAGTCGCATTAGAAGTGGAATTTTTTACAATGTTAATTTGCTAATTTGCTGTAGTTAAATTTAATTTCAATTGTGTCGTTGAATAAAAAATTGGGATAGGCTCACAAAGTAGTGGTTCAAAAGTGACGTTGGAAAAAAAACTTGAATTTAAATTTCAACAAAGTGTCTTATTTTACTGATTGTTCTTGTTGAGATTAGTTTGTCAATTTTCTTCTGACTCATCTTAAAGCTATTGAACATAAGTAGTTTTCCTAGCAATAAGTATTACTCCTTAAACTTTGTAAGCTTTTCATTTCTAATTTTCTACCTGTTCATAGTGTAATCGGTCACAATTGTTTTCCTTCAAATAAAGCGATTTTTTTCTAGCCAATATGCAGGAAATTGTACTTGAAATGATTTGAGTAATTCAGTTAATACAAATTTAACATTTTTTAAAGAAACTCGTATCTACTCCACTTTGCTTTCGACAAGTTAAAAATGAGATTTTGTCACAAAAATCGTTTAGATTGTGATTAATTGAATCATCCATAGAAAAGTGTTGTTATCCCAGTTTTTTTATCCTTCACAGCTTGAACGTCACTCAACGCTACTTTGAAATAGTTGTACCATAATCCTCAATGTTAAGTTGTTAGTTTTAACATAGTAGATCTTAAGAGAAAGATACCAACTAAGCCACCAAGAATTTGTAAGAAGAATTTTATGTAGCTAACATTAACTTCAATAAAATAAAGACTAAGAGAGTGTCTCTGTAAGAGCGGTCCGGTCGATTTTGCTTGAGACACGGATTTCGCTCGTTTCTCGTGTGTTGTAAGACATTCGTGTACCTATACTAAAACCACAATCGGTTTGATCGGATCTCTTTATTTTTCAGAGTTTTACAGAAATTAAATTTCACTCGAGCGAAGGCTTGTCGTGATACTTTTCAAGACTTTAATTTCATACAACTTTGGAGGAAAATTTACAAAAAACTACGGAACTCAGCAAAAAACAAATACCACAGCCATGTATATTAACTCTATCATATCTATCGAAGCGACTTTCGTAAACATCACGTTTCAATCATGGAAACAGGAAGACTTGAATGACGGCCACGTTTATGAGGTAAACAAACCGATCGATTCCTGATCACCGTTCTTGTCGATCAGCAAATCAAAATACCAGCGTGATATTGCCGCGAAGATGAAGCAGTTATGTTATTTGATTTGTACTTCACATTCGAGTCGAAGCTTGGGTGGCACAGGTTATTTCTTACGGTGGAACCAACTAGGGGAATTCGAACCCTAGTTATAGTGTTTGAATTGTTGGAAGAAATGGTCGCATGGAGATGGTAAGTTTACCGAACAATTTCAAATTTTGCCGCTTGCATTGAAAGTAAAGTTTATTTGAATTGCTTTCGTATGTATTTCTGACGGTTTTAGATCTACCTGCTTGATTTATATCGGTTACGCTTCATGTTGACAAGTCCCCCAAAATGGCGGCCAAACTTGGAGATTGCCGAAAATTAGGTAAGTTCACGGAGTGATAAAGTTCTCGTAAAGGTCGGGCCGCAAAGTTTTTTTTTGTAGTTACCTTTTCTATGGCACGTACTTCCTAGCTATGTTAGTTGGATCAGTTAAGAACGCCTCACTTTTTCAAAAATTTACCTTGAATTTGATCGGTTTTGGCGTGTGTGATTTAGGCGAACCGATAAGGTGTCATTCAAGTCTTCCTGTTTCCATGATTGAAACGCACACACACACACACCCCCCACACACACACACACACACAAAACTGTACGTTACATCCAGTGATTGGTAACGCTGTATCTGGGAATATGACTTTTTATGTCTCACGGTTCGTTTTGTTTGTTTTCTTGCCCCTTTCGGAAACTGTGAAAAATATTCACGTTGGCCTTGTTGTCGCAGGTTTCGACCTTGCCTTTATGCTGGTCATATCTGCAAACCTTCAAGGCGAAATTGTATCTTTTGTACGTGTAGCAAGAGGGCGAACCTTTCCTTTGCTATTTCCCCATTTGCGCTGCTTGGAACTTTTATTTCGATTTGCGGAGATGCTCGTTAGGTGGAATGAGGGTTCGTACGGCGGAGAACCACATGGAACAAATGAATCACGGAAACACTTGTTAAACGTTGGATCAGAGATGGATCTTTTAAGAGTCGGTTTACGTCCCCGGTCAAATTTTCCGGCGGTGTCAATGGATGTGGTCAATATCAAGCTGGTTGTTTTCTTGTTGTGTGCTAATAACTTTATTGATGCATTGTTGAATTCATTTTTCTTAGAGGATTGAGTCGCGTCAACGGATTGCTGAATATTTGTGGATGTTTTCATTCCCAATAACTCTTGAACGGCGTTTTGAAAACGACGATCTCTGTAGAAGTGCAAGACATGGGTTAATACAGAGTTGAACTGCACAAACACCTCTGATAATCGGGAAGCAGAGTTGGTGCGAAATGCGGGGGAAAAGTGACCCAAAGTGGCAATGACGATCGAGGGAACAAACGAAATCAGAAGTCCAGCTGTTAATAAACCAGTTCAGTCTTGGCAACTTTAGATTCGAGTTTTGCTTTCATCATGATAGTAACCTGGTTAGTTTGGTTTTGCTTTCGCTTCTGTACTCCGAGGAACACCATGATGTAAAAATATACAATGGCGAACAAACAACCCATAACCAGAATACTTCCAACTGCAAGCCATCCACCGAGAACTGTTTGATCTGCACCAACGATGATAATCGCAATGGTTGGAACCAGTATGAGGATTGCCAACAGCCAAGCAATGGCCCCGAGTTTTTGAAGGAGACGTTTTGTTACTTTTCCCTGTAGTCCTTCCAACATTTTACGGCCATGTACCTCTCCCATGCAATCGCATGTCGCATGGACATTGTGTGTTGCAAGGGTTTGTTTACCGAGGAATCGAACGTGCACACGTGCACTACTGAAACCTGGGTAAGCATTAGAACATCGACGATGGCTGACATTGGCATTGTTATAGCTCCTGTTATAAGGTCAGTGACGGCCATGCTGCAAAGCAAAATGTTGGAGAGCTTTTGCAGTTCTCTGCTTTTGTTCAAAGCGACGATTACCAAAATGTTTTGGAGAGTGGTGACAGGGGTAGCAATGAATATTACGATATTTAAAATCCATGGTAACGTTGTTTTGGTCAAATCCCAGGTAAGGTATGGAGGTTTTTGGCAGAAGCACAATGAAGTACTGGCATAGGTGAAATCTTAGCCGATTGTTGTGTTATTTGCTGCCATGCCGTGGCATGGCGTTGCCTAAAGGAGTGTTTAGCTTTTTTGAGTTTGTTTTTTTTTTTGAAAATGTTCCTCCACCGAAGCGGTTCTTTGCTCAGCAATCAGAGCAAGGTAAAGTTTACCTTGCTCTGACTCAAAATTCGACACCTTTTTCTTTTCGTAGCGCAATAGTTATCTGTAAAGGTACATAAAAGAATGCGTAGATATAACTATATTGTTGAAAAGCCTAAACTTCTATTTTCAAATTAATGAAACGTTAGCTTATCTTCTTCCTTTTTTCTTTTTCCTTTTTCTTTCAGAAAGGTGAAATGTTTGGAATGCCTAAGACTTGAATTAAAGCGGATCTGAGCCAGAGATGGTTTTAGATTTAACTTCAACGCCATTAGCATTGTTTGAAAAAGGGTATAAGAAATTAAGGTACAACTGTTCAATTTTTCTCGATCTTACCTTAAAATATGTTTTTTGAGAACATTAAATTAAACCCGGAAACATTCGCATTTATTGGGCTAAGCTTCCAGTTTATTAATTTCTTATGAAGCAACTCTCCGTATTATTTTCGGCGAAGGGGATTTTAAAATTGGAAATTTTGTTGTTAGTAAATTTAGCGATCGAAAGTAGATTACTTACCAGTATATTTGCAGCCAATTTCACCCTACTTGATGATTTTAACGCGAAAAAATCATGGTAGCCATTTCTTAATCTAAATCTCAGCGTCCTGTACTTTTCAGGAAATTTTATTTGAAAGATGTAATTTGACGCTGTCGCTGTAGCTTGTAGAAAATATACATATTAATACGATTTTCTCTCTAGACTGCCGCTTTAGAGGGCGATTTCTAAAGAATGTCAATCTACCTACTAAAGTAAATTCAATTCAGGCTACAAAGTAATCCACCTTTGCACTGGTTTTGCCATGTTACCTTTGTGTTTATATAATCAGGTACAGAACTTAAACAGCTGTTACTTAGACATTGACGTCCTTCTGTCCTGAAGGCGATTTAAAGGTTTTTTCCCTGTTTTCGAATTGGTCGCATGTAATATTTTCCTTTGAGCTCATTTGCCACTACGATTATTTAGATTTCAGTGTTACGAAAGCGTTCCTTTGTATCGTTAACGGCTTAGTACCCTGAGGTGTGTTTGCGTGGCTCTTTTTAATATGCATGTAAGACAAAAGCAAAAATCAAACATGACTAAGGGTAATGATAATTTGTTTTTTTCAACTGAGTTAATAAATAAATGTGAATTGGCCGCCTTAAAGAGTTTCCAAATATGACGTTTCGAGGGTTCGCCCTTCTTCAGAGCGAGTTAGTTTGGTTTGAAACCTACGAAAGGAAGCGCTTAACCCTTTAAATCCCAAGAGTGACTAGCATCTAATTTCTCCTCACAATATCAGCCTTGAATCACACATGAAGCTTATGAGAATAAAGGAAATGATTACCAGGGAAGGAACCTTTTGATTGGCAAACAAATCCTCCTTATCAGCACTTTAAGAAATGTACGAAGAACAGTATGGAGAATATGCATACTGATGTTAGGGTGTAAAGGGTCAAAATGTCGGCCATCGATGAACGTTCTTTTTCTTAATGTTCAAATCATGTAGGAAGCAGACCACAATCTTAGATCTGCGTAGAATCATTACGAAAGAGCTTGGATCTTTAGAAAGTGGAACGAGTTTGATGTTAAATATCCTTTTGTGAAAGAGTTACACTACTTGCGTTGCATTATAATTATGCTTTTGTAACCTTCTCGAGATTGTGGAGAATATGCATATAAGACTACAAATCTTCAAGGTTAGTCCTAAGATGCTGATGTCTTACTTCTATGAATTACGAAGCTGTATGTGGATACGATTATGAGATGTTTGTTACGATAATCGAAAGTAGTTTAGAATTTGATCTTATTTTACTTCAACTTTGAAATAAAATTGCGTAAAGTTCGAGGTGGCCCCTAAGCTTCAAATCACTTTATATAACATCGTCTTTTCTCTCTCTTTGTGGTCACTTAGGACTGTTTCAGCTTGAGGATTGAGTTGCTCTTACTACAACTTTCAGCGAATACGTTTTTGGGAGGTTGAGGTCGATTTTCCAAGTCATGGCTCACAACTTTGGCCTTTTTGCGCTCCAAGTCTGTCGTACATGGTATTAGGCAAGTGTCTTAACAATGCTTATAGTCTTGCCTTAATCATCCTCGGTTTTATCTTATTTTCTTCCAGCGTTTTGGTAAGAAATTTTTTAATTGCCTTTTTGGGCTTGAAGTGCTAATTAGAGGATAACCTTCGGCAAAAGCTATTAATCACATGGCCCCCAAATCCTTCACCACCTTCAGTTCATTGTTTATTTATTTGGCTTTCGGTCTAACCAGAAAAGACTTTCCCTTACTCCGATAAAATCCACAGTTATACCTCCATTTCTATCAAGCTCTTTAATGTAACGACCGTATTTCTAGTACTAACGTTGTCTTACTTTTCTTTACTCGAGATTGACGCTCTTTATTTTGGTAATCGGCCCCGCCGGTTGTGATTCACGTCAGAAAAAACTTTTGAAACAAAACATAGACTTCTGGAAACTTAAATTTCTCGCTTAAATTGGAAGTACATCGCACTAGCAGTACAGTTGAAGCTCTAAAAAACGCTCACAGTGAGTACTTCAAATGATCAACGATAACTTGAGATAGCAATGACACGATAAAAGTATACTATCCAATTCGTTTGTGCTCTTCGACAGGCCTCTTGCATCCTTCTTAAATAACTTCATCGACATCGATCGCCCAAAAAATCACAATACAAGACTCGAAGTTGTTCGTCAAGTCTTTGGCTTTCTGAAAATAATTTCCTTCCACACTACACAACTATTTTAAGACTTTGCAGCTTCCATCTGGGTTACGGCGAGAAAAATTATAAGAAAAGTTGTCTCAAATACTCGATCCATAGTTGTTTTCCGACGTATTTTCCTGCTTCTTTTCTTTCGCGATCACCAACGCAGTCGCGTGCCAGCCGTTCTCGCATCAAACTAAAATTTACAGGACATGTGCAACAAAATGCCCCTCTGCTGCAAAGCATAAGTTCATGGCTTGTGTTCCGTTCTGTGGGACCTTCAGGACTGGAAGCCTGACAACAAGTAAACAGAAAAGATAAAATGGCGGCTTACGGCTGCGAAGCAAATCTCAGTAGTTAAATATTTTAGCGTGAAAAGGCTTGGATGTTATGATCTGGTTCTCAAGTAGAAAAGATCACTATCTGCAATGGCTCTACCACCTTTTGAATAAGAAGGAAAAAATTTAAACAGTGATGAGAAAGCAGCAAGTTTCGAAGTCTAAACGAAAGATGGGTAACCAGAGTTTCAGTCAACTATCATGACATTTGGGATGTAATTTCGACACCAAATAAATAGTATTACATGGCTATACACGCAGAGGATTCTGCTGTGTTCACGTGAAGGCCATTTCAGCTATTCCTGCCACTTGTAAGTTGTAGGAAATAAAAAATGCATACTTTTGTTATATTAAAGCCCTGTGAGACCAATTAATCCTGATACCGAACATCGTTGCATCCTATTATAAAAAAATTTCCCCCTGATTGCTTCGTCAACTGGGATGTATGATGCAATATAGCTTGTGTTTTGTGGGATTTTCACCAGTAAACTAGAAATACCTGAAGAGGGTATTGACGTAATTAATGCATAGCATATTTTGGTACAAAGTCTGCTTTGCTTTGATCTACCCGAAGGTGCTTTTAATATGCTATTAAGTCTTGCACAGCCCAGTCGAAATGTTTTTGAATAGTAGACAAGCTAGTTGTAGTAATTATAGGCAGCAGAGGCCAAACCTCTTCCTTAAAAGTAGTATGAAAAGTATGAAGGCAGTGGAAGATACTTCATTGTAGGCGGCCAAATCACAGGCTGCCAGCCCATTTTGAGTGAGCAGGAAAACTTCAGATGGGCTATTTTAATTAATTTTATCGAGAGCTAAACCCTGTTTTAGTTTGAATTTTTTTTTTATGTTTCTTATTTAGTAGTAGAGGCCAAACCTCGTCCAGACGATAAGTCTAACAGGCGTGAAGTAAGTAGCAGACATTTTGTTGTAGACGGCCAAATCCCCAGCTACCGGCACATTTTGACTGGGCTATTTGTTATTTGGCTGCTACGTAATCTTATTATTAAAGATTACTGCATTCCTTGCATTGCATTGACAAGGTTCCTGTAAATTAAGTTTACATGACAAACTAACAATTTGTGAGAATCTCACAAATCCCAAGCTATATCCTAGGTTTTGCTCTTAATAAAATCAACTTTTAAAGCAAATTGGGACTTTACCCTTGAGCTTGTTTTTTTTTGGTTACCTTTTGTATACATATGTATAAATAATGCTCCTCTGGCTCTCCTCCAAATTTTTACAACTCTTAAGAATGATCAAGCTTTACCTTATTATTAAAAAAATTTTTACATCGTAGATTACCAAGTTATCACAGAGGTTTTTTTGGTACTTTGACCTGTTTAACACCCCCCAAAAAAGTGTAAATATGTGTGTAGTACACACAATCAGCCTAGTCAAAATGTACCGCAGCCGACAATTAGGCTGCCTACAACGAAATATCTGCCGCTTTCTTCACACTATCGCCAGCTTTCTTTCCACTCAAAAACATTTCGACTGGGCTCATACTTACATACATACATATAATAGGATGCAGTGATCTACAGTATCAAAATTAATTGGTACCTAAATAGTAAAATGTTCGAGAAAAGAAATAACGGTAAACATTTTTCTTTCTCATCAGCATCGAATTCCAAAAATAATAGATAATGACAACCTAAAACAAAGAAGAAGAAATGAATCATATTTATGATCTCACAGGGCTTTAATATGACAAAAGTATGGGTTTTTTTTCTTACAACTTACAAGTGGCAGAAATAGCCGAAATGGCCTCCTCGTGAACACAACAGAATCCTCTGCGTGGATAGCCATGTAAAACGATTTATTTGGTGTCGAAATTACATCCCAAACGTCATGATATTTTACTGACACTCAGCTTACCCATCTTTCGTTTAGACTTTGAAACTTGCTGCTTTCTCACCGCCGTTTCAATGTTTTCTTGTTATTCAAAAGGTGGTAGAACCATTGCAGATAGTGATCTTTTTTTCTTGAGAACCAGATCGTAACACCCAGGCCTTTTCACGCTAAAATACTAAACTATTGAGATTTCCTTCGCAGCCGTAAGTTGCCATTTTATCTTTCCTGTATACTTGTTCCCAGGCTTTGAGTCCCGAAGGTATCACACAACACAAGCCATGAAGTTAAGCTATGCATAACTTTAGGGCCGATTAAGAAGTAGCGATAATCATAACTTTGGTCTCGAGATCATGTTGCTACACATAATGGCGGTCTCCCGACCGAATTTATCGCTCTTAGCGTGTTTTCTACTACTTTCATTTTCCACCATCGTAGAAACACAGAATGAGGACAGCGGTAAAGTCAAAGAGAAGGAAGGTGCCGAGAAAGAGAAGAAATACAGTGAGATCCACACGACATTCCTACTTGTTATGATGTTTTTGTTGATTATCACTGTGCTAACAGTGTGGATTTTTAAAGTTAAGCGTTGGCGCTTCCTGCACGAGACAGGATTTTGTATGATATACGGTGAGTTCCCTATTATAGGTACCGTAGTTTCTCGGTTATAAGACGCACAGTTTTTTCAAGAAAATTCTGTCTTATTTTTGAGAGAAAAAGCAGAGCTTTTTGGTCTGAGGTGTAGCGAAGATTGCATCAAATTCAATCCTTAATTCCTATGAATTAAAAAGGAATACTGCTTTCAGAACACTTACCAACTTCCATAGAAAAGTTTGCATACGTGCTAAGCAGCACTTGCTCGGTAATATGATATCCAACTCAGGTCCTTCGGTAGGTAGCGTTCTATGGATGCACATTTTGTTATCCGCAGCTCACCAGAAAACAGGAAATGTTGCCGGTTGTGTCATTTTCTCTCCATGGATTCTGAAATGCCGTATTCACGGTCAATTTCACGATTGTTATCGACTGCCTCGGCTTCAGCAACAATTTTCAACTTAACGTTGAGATCATACGAGTGACGGCGAGCGCTTGGCATATTTGCGATCGAACACGAAGTTGAAGTTAAACTCTTACTGTTTATGATGAGTTTGACTGAGTTTTAAATCAGTTGGTTGATGTTAATAGAATGAAATCGGATCATTGAATATTTAATATTTAATTTTGTAAATAGAAGCATGTTTCCTAAGCAGGAAGGCTAAAACAAACGAGTATGCGTTTTATGTTTCTCATTACAGGTGTGAAATTTTAGCCTTGGTTTTTACGTAGATCATTAAATCTGTGACTTTTTCACTTTTATTTACGTTAACAAAAGAGTTTGCATGCCAGTTGTGTAGGGATAATTGTTCTCAGTTCCATCACTTCCTTTTGTTAAGTCTCAACCTTTTGGTACTTCTAACAGCCGAGTATTTTCACATAATTTTCAGTTTGGGAACTTGGCTTGAATAAGTTGCTTAGTTTGGGGTGCGCTTATAACCGAGTGCGCCTTATAATCGAGAAACTACGGTATGTTCAGTTGAAGCACTGGTGGTAAAATTTTATCAAACAATACATAGCCTTTAAGAAAACAGATTTGTTTTACAATAGTATGGGGCTATGCGGAAGTTGGTGAAATTTCCGCACAGCTCCTTACTATTGTAAAACAAATCTGTTTTCCCAATGGGAATGTATTGTTTTTGTCATTGATTTCTCTAGCCAAGAACTGAATGCATAATTTATGATGGAGCTATGCGGAAATTTTACCCCGCTTGATCAAGTCCGCTCACAACTGACCGCCTGATATTACAGGTATCCGGCATATTGCCAAAACTTGCCTTCGAAATGGATAAATCTGTTTTCATAGCTTGCACGCGTTTCAATAAATGTTTGATCCCCGTGGTAAACTTTCATTAAAATTATGTAGGAAGGGCTTCAAGCCTTTGCTAAAATCAGGGAATAGGGCTCTTGTGCAGAAAAAAACATTCATTAGTTTGTAATTTATTATTATTATCGCACAGTTAACAGTAAGGAAACTGTGACCGGAGAGAAGATTTTAAGGTCACATGTGGCGTGCTTGTTGACGCACAAGTTCCTGTGTGTAACAACTTCGGCTTTTCCAGACCGCGGATGATGGGAAACTCTGCCCCCCCTCATTTGAAAGGAAATATCAATAGCGCCATAAAATTCATTAACTGTGCCATGTTTCCAGAAAATAAGACGGGAACATGTTTTTTTCCACTTTCCACCATCAAGAAATTCCACGCAGAAATAGTATTTGAAGCGTGACTGGGTAATCTTTCAGGAGAAGTGAAAATTGTTTATCTTTTATTTTTAGAAAACTCTTCTAGAAAGTGTTTAATCCTTCTGTTATTTTATTTGCCCTTTTTTGACTGCAAATATCGTCTGCATTCGCTATTATTTTTGCTGCTTGTCATGGCCTTTCCTGCGTGCACGTGCGAGCCAGTTGGTACAAAACACTCTTTCGAGTCTCTTTGCGTGGTGTCGGGCTTAGGTGTGTAGCAAGGGGACATTGGGGCCCATTAAAAATCGCAAAACCGTAGAAAAAATCATCCACAACCGAAAACCGTATGCAAAACTGTCCAAATCGATACATTTTCACACCCCAGTTGTTAAAACCCTGATCGATCCGATAGAGTGGTGACAAGTGGAGCATACAGAGTTAACTACACTAATTTCATGACAGGATTTATGAATACCATGGACTTGGCATTCGTATCTTCTAGTATCTGCTTAAATTAACCGCTGCGCTCTCGAGGACCTCGAGCATGGTCTCTGCGGACTCAGCAGCTGGTAATGGAGCCTAATTAAAATTAATGAAATTGGCACAAACGTTCTCCATAGGATTGCAATTTTGCAGTCGCAAAAAGCTATAGCTATGGAAAGTTTCATCGAAGTTTCTAAGACCTGAAAGTTTGGAGATTCTATTGGAATGTTGAATCAATTAGTCACGTATGGCCTGTAATTTGGTTACCAACTTCGAGGTGGCGTTGACGTTGATAAAGTAACTCTGGCAATGATCCATGCTTAGCCTTACCCTAAGTGTAGCCGTACCTTCCCCCCCCCCCATCTTAGTGAAGGGGGAGGGTAAGGCTACACCAAGGCTACCTAGGAATCCCTGCGATATTTCAATTGGTTTGTCACGCATTCCTCCCGATAACATTTGCGTTTAGCGGCTATTCGAGATCAGCGGAGGCGCGTGATTTCGCGAAAACCGAAAACCAAATGCTTAAAGACGCAAACCGCAATGAACACCAAAACCGAAAAACCGACGTGTTTTGGCACAAAAACCGAAAAACCGATCTGAAAAATAGCCAAACGCGCAAAACCGAAAATCCCAATGCCCCCCTTGTGTAGGTCTGGCTCAAAAGATATCTGTATGCTGCAACATGGGTTCCTATGTTTTCTCCTTTTCCTTTATTTGTATTTTTATTCCCTTTCTCGTATTATCACACATGTATGTTTTTTTTAATTCCCTCAGTGCGTTCCCTCAGAGTTGGAAGTAGACTATGAAAAGCCAATATTGACCAGAACTGAAACCTTTTCGATCACTATTTGTTTCAAAGAACCCCTGTTATTTATAATTTTATTTCTCAAGAGAATGTGTATTTATTTGCTATTTATTTCCATTAGAACACGAAACTAGGTAGAGATAACTTATTTACTATTTGTATATGAGCAGGCTTATTTACCCCACTTGTAAAACTCCTTGATGAAGTCTACTATTGTTAGACGAAACGCGTGGGAGATAAATACAGGTTTTTACTTTCTCAGATCGTGCAGTGATGCTCACTGTTTCGGCAAGACACTCATCAACTAAGATCCGCATTTGCTGATCAACAACAACTCTTCTCTTAATCAAACCTCATGTATGTGTACGAAGACAGTATTCTTCAAATACGGTCATGAAAACCATGTACGTAATATCTCCCTTTCTTTAAAAAAAATAAAACAACTCTAACAGAACTTGCCTAAAAATCTGGCTAACTTAAGTTTACCAAAAAACTTGTCGACGCTGAGACTAAACCTAGTCCCTAATCGAACTTACTTAACGCCTTTACTAACGTTTCTTATCAAAGTCTTTGAATCTGGACGAGTACTCCGGGTTCTTGTCTTCTGAGACACTGGTAAAGCTCTGCTTGTGCTGGATGAATGCTCCGCAGGACTCGTGGGTGGTGAGCTTACTGGCTTAATACTTAAAGAAAGGTGTGGCAGGCCATATTGGTTCCGTGGGTACTTTCTTGAGATTAACACTAGGTAAGGTTGTATCATCCTTGTTTCTTTGCTTGTCTTGAGTTGTAGGCTCTGCTGCATGTCTCAAGAACTGCCTATTCCTTCTGAAGGTCTGATCGCCTGACTTGACCATGTAGGACCTGTCTGAGAGTTTCTCTACGCAAGCAGTCTGCTTCCACGTTTGATTCTTTTGCAAGAGTTCAATTTCAGGCAACTGTTTTGCAGTACGGTCATAGTAAAACTTTGCCTTTCGCCTTTCCCCTCTAACTGCTCTGTAGAGTCTGGAATTATTTCGGGACGGGGAAGACTTGCTGCTGTAGGTAGCAGAGTTCGTGTTCTTCTAGACATAAGCCTTTGACTAGGGCTGGTTCCTAGACCTTCTGTATGGTTGTTCCCATAATCTAACAAAGCTAACAAGGGGTCTTTACCATCACGTTCAGCTTCCTTGAATAACTGTTTGACCGTCCTGACTGAAGATTCAGCTTTACCGTTAGCCTTTGACGTCACGTGGTTGAATTTCCAGCTGCGTAAAAACTCGTGAAATTTCTGACTGCTAAACGGTGTACCATTGTCTGAAACGACAGTATCCGGAATCCCATGTCCACTGAATTTCTGTTTAAGAACTTGAATAACTGCATATGAGGTAGTGTCCTCAAGTTCATCAACTTCAACAAAATCTGGGAAGTAATCAGCGAGTGTGATGTTAACTGTAAACAGATCTGTAGCAACTTTTCTCCACGGCCTGTCAGAAACTTAATGAGATCGAATAGGCTGACCAGCATTTTTCGCTTGAAACTCTGCGCAAACTGAGCATCTCTCAACTACAGCTTTGATATCTGAATTCATGCCAGGCCAGAAGACGATCTCTTTAGCCTTTCTCAGGCATGAAGCAATTCCTTGATGGCTAGAGTGTATTCTTGAAAGCCTCTCCGGCCTCATAGCTTTCGGAACTATCAGTCTCTGACTCTTAAACAGAATTGCATTGTGGAGCGAAATCTCTTCTATATAATTCCAGTAATCGCGAACTTGTATTGGGCATCGCTCTCTTTTCTCTGGCCATCCCGTTAGCACAATAGTTTTTAAGGTTTCGAGAACGAGGTCTTGCACTGTAGACTTCTGCGGTTGATCTAGCCTTTTTGGATGGAATCAAAGGGGGTGAGTGTGTCAAGTTCTATGGCGAAAACTTGAAAGTTGTCTGACATCGACGTACTATCAGCAAGTGAGGCTCTGGACAAATTATCGGCCACATACATCTATGCACCAGGTTTGTTCTTGACTTCTACATTAAAGCGTTGTAACCGCAACATCATTCACCCTTTTAACTGGCAAAGTTTCATTGAAATCGGTGAGGTGGCATGTAGCACGACTGCCTGGTGCTCTCTTGGACACACTCTTAATTTTTCAAATTTATTGGTGAAAGATACACCAAGAAATGAAAATGTTTGGAGTCATTTTCAGCAAAATATTTTGCTGATAGATTTATCAATACTAAATAATAAAAATGCTGTGGGAACAAGACATATTTTTTTTACCTGTATAAATCTGCTGTGTACCGTTATGCTTCCTAAGAATAAATACTCAGACAAATTTTTCTTTCTTGTTTGGACCAAGTCCCACAGGGTCTGTTATTGGAATTGTCCGAATGCATTTAGACTAACTTGGATTTAGAAAATTTTTCAATAAGAAGAAAAGAATCATTTGTTCGAGTAATTCATTTTTACAGTGCTTTTGTCATTTACCTGGAGTAGAAGGGCAACTCCAAGTTATTCATATCTTAAGCCCAGTTCAAATGGTCATGACAGTTCATAATAGTGGACGATAGTTTCAACTTTCATTCACCATCACTGACCATCATGTTTTCTGTCGCTCGCTTTGACTGTGTACTCTCGGTTGTATAGTGACTTGCAATTCATTTCAAATTTCACTTTTTAACACTTCTTTTAAGTTTGCAAGGTGCATGTTGTGATGACCACAGTTGCCGTGGATTGGTTGTTGGGTAAATTGTGCTAAGTTATCATTTTTTTCCTAGGTCTGGTAATTGGCTTTCTCATAAAATATCTTAGTGGAAATAAGAGAGTGGCAGTTACTCACTCAAACTGTACCATAAGTTCTGCAGCAAAGAAGCTGTATATCAGCACTCCAAATGGTTCACTGTATTCATGTACGTTGTCTGGAGCAGTGCAGAATTCTGGCGCTGATCAGGGAAGTGAGCTGAATCAGATGGTAGGTACAATGAAGAAAATTTAGAGGCTGATGATAAACTAATAAAAGTTTTCTTACTCGGATTTTTTGTTTTTAAAGTGATTCAGTTCAGAAAGTAATATGTTTGCTATCTAATTAGTATATTTTAAAAGCAACGGTGCATAAAGGTCTATCGAAAAAGAGATAGAACAGGAAAACAACCTCGAAAGTTTTGAAACCATGCGGCTAAAGTCGGTGCAATGAAACTGCACACGTCATGCTATGTATTCACGCGCATACATGAAGATTTTTACCATCAGGGTAGCTCCTTAGGAATTAAGTAGGACTTGCGCGTGTGCTATTTTATAATACTGTAATGTGAACACATTGGATCAAGCAAGTCTTTTCATCAAACAAACATCAGTATGACGCAAATCAAACTAGTTAACTGCAAGTATTTTATAGAGAAAAAAAAGAAAGACATATTTTGCTCCTATGACAAATGGAAAGTACAGGTAAGAAAAAGAAGTTAGAGTAAAGGAGCAATGTATCAAGCCTTTTTACCCAAACATCAATATAAATATTCTCCATACTTTTCTCTATTTACTTCCTAACGTGCTGACAACGAGAATTTGTTTAATAATCAATAGCTTCTTTGGTTGAGGATCTTTCCTTTATTCTAATAACCTTAATGTTGGATTCGGAGGTAACATTGTAAGGAGATATTAAATACTATTTACTCCTAAGGGTAAAAGAGTTAAATAAATTTTTTGTTGTTAGAGTACTAACCATAACATGCTGGGCAGAAAGGATCTCAGAATTTTTGCCTAATTTATAAATAATTATTTAATATCAGTTAAGAAATACTTTGTTGATCAGAAATGAGAGTTGAAAGCCTTTTGAGATGTACAGTTTACATTTTCCTTCTTTTTCTTCATGCAGGCTGTATTTGATCCTGAAATATTTTTCTATGTTCTACTGCCACCAATTATTTTCTATGCTGGATATGACATGAAAAAGGTAATAACTAAGTGAACTTTTGTTATAATCTTAATATAGTTCACATCTCTGCATTTACATAATTATACAATGGTATTAAAGCACACTCATGTCACTTAAGAAAATTATTCAGAGCAAACAGAGCAAGCTCCATGACCTTCTTCCTGCTCATAACATCAGTACTTTGAACCTAAGGAACAAACGAGAGTTTAGGCCCATGTTCAAGACGAAAAAAATTTTCAATAGTTTTATCACTTTAATGACCTTAAATCCTAAACTATTTTACTAAAATTTAATATTCATTTGACATATTTAGTTTACAAACGCGACAGATATGCAAACAAAGTTCTCTACAAACTTGCCTCAAACCACTAATAGTTCTTTTTAATGTTATTATTGCTATAAACTTTGGTAATAATTGTATTATTCAATTTTTTAGCTTCAGAGAAATAAAATTATAAATAAACTTTTTATTTATTTATCTTTCACACTTTCTTGTTTGGAATAAGTACAACATTATATAGATTATTATTGTATATCTATAATACACTTGCAGCGCTTTTTCTTCCGGAACATTGGCGCCATCCTTACATACGCATTTGTTGGAACAACCATCTCGTGCATGGTGTTTGGGTGAGTAGATTTGACTAGATTTAGTACGTACACTTTGCGGTGTAACTCAAAGATAAGCGGCGGACATCGAATACTAGTACAGTACCATACCCTCATCTGAAGTGCATGTGTTTGTGTACAGACTTGTATTAAAACAGGTGAAGATGAAGTATATGTGCTATTGTTATTCATTGTTATGTAACTTTTCCTTGTGTGCCATTGTGATCCACAACTAAATAGACGGTAATATGAAAGAGCCGGTCCGCAAGCATGAAATTCGTGAAATAATTATGAAAATTGCCGTACACAAATTTTTGAACAGATTTAAAGTTGAGAAAGAAATGGCGTATGACCATTAAGCACCTACTGTAACAGTGCAGCTCTAACTGATGAGGAAACATGCATACACATACATTTACATGTAAATTAAGCATGTAAACGTTACAGATATGATGACGGCTAAGAATTATTTTCCTCAACTGCATGGCTGATTTGCACTTTTGGACTTATTATGATTTCATATTTATACTTTTATAAAAATACCTATGCTTCTTGTTTGTTTTTCTAATAATATGATGATGCTTCTGTTACACTTATAGTACTAATGATATTAACCCATGAAGAGAGTCATCTTTCTCAATTAAGAAGGAAAAGTATGGTTACTAGGAAGGAAAATAGTCAGTTAAATTTTGTGTGCATTTTGATTAGGTGATGTGAAATTAAAACCAACGTAAACGCAACAGCCAATCATAGGGAAGGAATAATATTATATCACAAAAAGCCAGTGAGAATGTTAAGGCGAGACAAGTCGCTTAGGGTTAGGGTTAGTACTCTAAGCTAACCCTAACCCTAACAAAACCAAAGCAATCCTGGATAAATAAGGAAATTTGCTTTTAAAGTTTAAGAAATTCCTTTAATATACTTTTACAATACTTCTTTACAACGCTTCTTACCAACTGCTGTTTAATGTATTTGTTCTGTCTGTTAAACAGGGGGACAATGTATGCCTACACGATGATTGATTCTCATCATATAGACAAAAATTTTGATTTCCTGGAATGCCTCTTGTTTGGAGCTCTGATATCAGCCACAGATCCAGGTATGTTGGTTTGAATTATTCAAACCGGCTACTCAAGGCAATACCAACCTTATGAGCAAGGGACAAATTTTCACTTGTATTACAGTGTACCACTGAATATCAGATTCAACATTTCACTTTTATTTCATTTTCTAGTGCTTTAGCTTTTAGTTTGCAAAACACTCCTATTTCTTTATCTAAATATCTCATTGATTGCATAAGGTGTACGTGAAAGGGGTAACAACATGGAGGAAACCATCTTAGTGTTCTTTGTGACCGTCTACAAAATCTGATAGGCTTAAAAGTTTGTTTCTTTAAAAGTCAAGCCTAAAAGGCAAAAGCAAATGTTACCCTCCATGGGAAATCGGAGACTTACACTTTACCGTTAAACGGTCTAGAGAAACGTTTTTAAACAGATACTTAACGGCCAAAGTCCAAAAAAGGATAGCTTAAACTAAGAAACGGTTGACCAAAATCGACAAACGGAGAACTAAAAATTAATGTTAAACGGTGGTGGTTGAACCGGAAAGTTTTGAGGAGAAGTTTGAATCAAGCAGTCGGCTATTTTATTGCACCTCTTTCGGTATGTGTACTACTTTGGCATATTTTGTGTGTTCGGATGCCCTTATATGGTAAATTATTGTAGTTCTACAAAACAGGTGTACATGGTTTTCTGAGTTTCATGATGAATGCACTGTGTTCTATTTTCAAAAAAAATTAACTGCTCAACCTCAGCCTACCAAATGTTCCATTTCAATTAATCGTTCTATGCTATGATAGAATCAATCTGATTAAAATGCTCACTGTATGAATTTATTATGTTTATTTGCTTTTACCTCCCAATAGCCTGAACTTCCCATTCTCAAACATTTTTAGTTTCTCTCGAAGTTTCAAATTATTGGGAGGCAACTCTACTCCATCACTAGTTTTTAAAAGTTGCTCTTCTCCATCACCCCTCTCCCCCTTCTTTCCCCAACCCCTCTCAGTGTTAATTCTCTTGTTTACACCTTTTGTAGATCCATCATAAACTTACTTTGATTTGTTGTGCAGTAACAGTGCTGGCCATTTTTCATGACCTGCATGTGGATGTGGATCTGTATGCTTTGGTGTTTGGTGAAAGTGTTATGAATGATGCCGTGGCAATTGTTCTCTTCAGGTAGGAAGAAGCGTGGGTCAGAATTCGGATTAGATATTTATTGTAACTAATAGAATTATTTGTGTCAAGTGCACAGCACAGTTGATGAACCAATAATTGCTCACTCTTGACAAACAAAGAAAACTACTATATGTGGTTTCTTGATATTAAAAACAAATCAAATACAGTACTTGCGAGAGCTCTTGGGATAGAGAGATAGATTATACAGCAGCTGTAAAGAGTATGTGGAGTACAGACATTGCCATCTCAATTCTTACAAAATGTTTGAAAATTACTTAAAGGTATCTTCGGCTCTGAAGTCAAGAATTTCAAGGCAATTTGACTGAGAAACTATGGACTAGAAGACCCATTGAGCCACCTCCTAAATTGTCCACTGTTAAATCATGAGTTATTAATTTACTTATGTTTTAGTGTGAATTTAACATTTACCTTTCTCAACCCAAATTTTTTTTTTGAAAGGAAGTGCAACTGAAACATACCTGTACATGTATCTTCATGCAATGTCAAGTATGATTTGAATTAACAAATCAAGAAGCCTTGACTGTGCTCTCTTCTATTGTAAAGCATGCAGGAAGCGGCGAGAACATGAGACGTAGTCAAATGTTTCTCCTTTCTTCTTTAGTAGCGTGAAGTCTGGGAAATGGTCTGAGATAGTACAAATTGGTAACTGGCACGAAGGCTTTAGCTCAGCTTTTTGTTTTGTACTATCGCTGGTAGAGCACGTTCTTTCAGCCAATGACAGTGCGCATTATATCTGAATTTTTTTGTAAATGAATTAAATCAAGCTTGCCTTTGCAGATCTGTGGAGACATATCTGTTGGACAGCGCAGGCACTGGATTTCAAGTTGATAAGTTCTTTGAGTCAGTGGGTGTCTTCATTGGTGTTTTCTCGGGTTCTTTCTTTCTTGGTTTTGCTATGGGTCTTGTTACTGCTCTTGTATCCTTTCAAAAGTTCATTGACATAATTATGAACAATGGAGGATAAAATCTTGGGACACTAACGGAATCTTACAAAAATAAAATCCTTACCCCCTCCCCTCCCCTCTCCCCCCCCAAAAAAAAATGATGAATTTTGTGTCCTTTGAAAATTTTACTGAGATTTGGTGGCTATTTTTTTTTTTGGGGGGAGAGGAGGTTCTGTATTTATGCTGGAATTGGCAAAAAGTGGTGTTTTGTATTATATTTGGGTGTGGAGTTTGTTCTCAATATCTGTCCCATGGAGTTTTGATGTTCGTTATAAAAATTTTGTGGTTTTAGACCCTTGACATCACAACAAAAACAGGTGACAAAACTCACCAAAATCTCAGACTTTCCTCTCTTAGAGACGGCTTTGTTCTTCCTACTGTCATGGACCACATTTCTCATGGCAGAGGCAGCCAATCTAACAGGTAAGTGTTTAAAAGTTCACTAAATACTAAGGTGATGGAGAAAACCTTATTATCTAGGTAATCGTGGTGAAAATAATGCTGGGAATGTAGTAAATAAAGAAAGCACTGGCTAGTAATTCTACATAGTTATATTTATTACCATAAATTTGAGAGTTATTACTTCTCATTTAGTAACAAGCAAAAAGACACCTGATGGATATCTTGTCATTAAAGCTCTATTATTAATATAGTTGTAACCATTGCAGTTTCCTCAAATGTGATTGGTGCAGTAGTTGCTTTATTTTTCACTAATTATTATGTAGAGTTGTAATTGGACAGTGTAAGGGAGTAGTTGGTTGTACATTGTGTAATCGAACACCTGTATTCAGACAGTTCAGGCAGCCAATCATATTAGGTCAACTCAGCTAAATTCACCAGTCACAGAATTGATTGTCTGTTAGCATACTCGTAATTATTAAATCGAACGGTCGAGTGATTTTTTTGAACGCTCGCGTGATTACAGACTGAATTGGACTCCACTCAGTCCTTCATGTATTGCCATTACTAATTTTAAAAAAAATTATAATGATTATAATTGTGAGAACACTCCTGATAATGATGATAATATTGATACTGCAGTAAATAGTAATTGTCATTAATCTTCTTATTTTTTGTTGTTGATGTTTTATATGTATTATTATTATCATCATTACCATTAGTGTTTTATATGTATTATTATTATCAACATTACCATTACTGTTATTATTTTCAGTTATGTACATTGTTGTTGAAACTGTGCAATCATTTTCATGCTGTTTCCCTCTAGGGATTGTTACAGTTCTTTCTTGTGGAATATCTCAAGCTCATTACACATATAACAATTTGTCAGAGGAGTCAAAACAGAACACAAAACAGGTACTGTACTTTTAATTACTTTGGCTTGTCATTCACATGTGTACTGTACTTATCCTCAAAACATGTTTTATTTAGCTTCAGGAAAATCATACACTACATGATACTCCTGGAAAAGTAATTTATATACCGTATTCGATGGTCTAACAAATAACACAAGCGGATATTTTGCGACTTGCGTAGTAATCGAAGTCGCAGCAATGAACTAAATGTCCGCTCGCATTATGTGATTTAATTCCACTATTATTTCACTGTTTAGTACCTTGAATTTAGTTTTGAGAAATACGCCCTACCGCCTTATGTTGGCATCATATCGACTGCATAAGGAGTACGCAAAAGTCGTAAAGAACATGAACAAAACCACTGTGTTTTTTGGGACCCAAAAAAATCTGTCGCATTTAAGAGTTCGTTTGTTTAAACATGAAACCTAAAAAACAAAAACCGATCAAAGTTGCGTCGTTCATTACGGTCACTCTGTTGCTTCGTAGTTTTGCCCTGTTCTGTAGTGAAATGCTGTGGAATGATAGATCTCTCGCAGCTCTCTCTACCAAAAATTACAAAGCTAACCTTGATATGTTTTTCAACATTTCTTTGCAGGCGTTTGCACTCTTAAATTTTCTAGCGGAGAGTTTTATATTTTCATACATGGGGTTATCTCTCTTCACCTTTCAACATCACCAGTGGAATGTTAGATTTATATCAGTCACATTTGTATCTTTTTTATTATATTGGAGTGGTGACTGGGAAAGTAACACCTAACACTTGTCACTTCTGATCATTCGAAAATGAAGTTTAATGACCAACATTTTGATTATTTTGAGGCATTTTTACGGGGCTGTGTTTCTGGTTTGAAAAGAAAAAATTGAGAAATGAAATAGTAGCTTTATGTGAATCTGTGGAGGAAACATTTTTAAACTGTTAACTTTTTAAATCAATCGTTTGCTTCTGTATTTTTTATTACTTTTTAAAGTTATGGGCTCAGTTTATGCAGAGCTACATGTAGAAGATGTGAAGAGCTTTGAAGAGCGGCAAAAATCGGAGATTAAAGCAAGGCTACTGTAGTTTATGTTGACGGCTCCACGAGAGAGCAGAATCTTTTGTTTCTGTGCTCACCTTTTGTTTTATAGTTAATTGATTAGAACTTTAATTGGTCAATCAGTTTAAAAGGATCGTGAAGCTAATGAATGCTGTACACCGCAAAGGTACCAGCAAAAGCATGCAACAAAGACAATTTCACGGTTTTCCCTCCTTCTCGCTATTGTTCACCAATTGATACAGCTTGTTAACGATTAACATACCTAAGCAAAAGCCCGCTTGGGTCATGCTGTAATGGTATCTTACTGATTGACCGTTCCCTATCCAATCATCGGTTACTGATTCTTAACTGTTTGATGTACAGCTTGCCATGACTTTGGGAAGGCTTTTAAACGTTTATCCATTGTCGTTTTTACTTAATATGGGAAGGCACAGAAAGATTAGTTACAAATTTCAGCATATGATGGTGTTTGCAGGTGAGTAATCTGAAGATTGTTTTTTCAAGGAAAAGAATGTAGAACTAGCGTATCATTGTTGATGATGGTCAGTGCTCTGAGTGGAGTACAATTCGGTCTGAAATCCTTCGAGTGATCAACAAAATTGGACAACAGCGAAACGGGAGTTCGATTTGTTAACTCTGTAAATGATGATTACAAATAGAATTGGAAGACAAAATCCTATTCGAAATTAACTGATAGAGTACGAGCAGTCCCCCCTTTTCGGCGAAGTCCGTCGCGCGATAAAAAAAAATATATCATTGAAAACACAATTAATGTTAGCGCGTCCCGAGAGCTATTGGAGTGACGTCGATACAAGTATGTATCAAAAATTTTGATACACTGTGGGTTAAACCACTTTTATGAATAAAAACATCACACGAGCTAATGAATTGGTGTGGAGTTCGTGTTTTTAAACGCCCGATTTTTTTCTACTAAAAATGATGGTAAAACTGAATGAAGTGTACTCACGGAGAACTCGGGGGAGTAATTTCAAATCGCCCAAGGATGAGGCTGTCGCTTTTTTTAGAGTAACAGACTCAACTGCAATTACCGTAGGTATCTTACTGAGTTGAGTCATGCCCACTCACTCAGGCTTTGACGAGGTATTAAGAGCTCGTTTTTTACTTACTATCTTCCATTAATGCATCAGTGTAATTTTACACCTTTTATCCGTTCAATGAAGGTTTGCGAGGTGCCGTTGCATTCGCTTTGGCCATGCGCAACACGGAATCAGTTCCTCGTCAGATGATGTTGACCTCAGTACTAACTGTGGTTTTTGTAACTGTTATTTTCAATGGAAGTGCTACCACGTGGGTACTCTCACTTTTGAAGATAAGGTAGGATACTGTTTTAAACATAAAGCAACTAAATCCAATTACAGACATATCCATTCACAGGAATCCGTTAAAGTTCTTTTGAAATCACCTCTGGCCGTTGCAATCTGATTTGATCCCAGAGTTCCAAATAATTCGCTAGTCACTCTTCTAAGAATAGCTTCAATTTTTCTAAAAGAATAAATTTTGTTTTTAAAAGAATTTAAAAAGAGTTTTTTTTCTTACGACGGAATCAAAGTTTACGTAGTACGATCTTTAGTGGGTTCTTTCCTCTTGAATCCAATTTTTAAAGTAAACATGTTCCATTTGTTTTTCAGAGTTGGCGTAGATCCTGAAGAAGAAGATAAGGGGTCTACCTATGTTTCGGTGAGCACTGTAGGTTTCTTCCGTATAAGTGTGCAAATTTTCTTGCCTTTGTCGGGGAAACATGTTTAATTAACTTGAAGACCACATTAATATAAATAATAGAGTCGGATCTTCTTTGCTTTGTGGAGCAAGGCCATAAATCCTTTTCCACCTGAATTTTGTCTTTATCTATCTTCTCTGTTATTACCACTTCCGCCATCTACTACCAAAGTTAGCCATCACTTTATTTTGCCTCGAGTCGTCAAATCTGCTCTAATATTTTCCTTGTTAGGGTATGTTGGGTCTCGCAATTGTGCCAGTTCTACCTCACAACTCTCTCTAGCCCTCCTCTATACTTTATAAACGACGTTTACCGTCGATTGCATCATCCCTTCCACGCACTTAAAAAAGGGAAAAAAATGTACTGTTGGCGTACCAATCTTCAATTTCTCAACCGCAACACTTCAGTTTTGCCACTCATTTGAGTTAAGGTTGTGCATTGCCTACCCACTTGAGAGGGTTTTCACGCTTGTTGATAGTGGTCGGAAATGGCAGTTGCTTCAAACAAGGCCAAAATATAAACTTGAAATTTCTGCCTTGTTTATCTTTTTTTTATTTATTTGTTTGTACCACCAACCACCGACTTTCGAAATCAAGAGATTAAATCTCGCACAGCTAGATAATAAGAACAGAACATTAGCTAACAATCAAATCACAGTTTCGTGGAAAAATATTTACGTACATTCTATAGACCTCTTGGTACACACTTTGAACTTTTTCTGTCATAACGTTGAAGTTTGATAGGCCAACACAACATGTTGTCATCACGTGCATGGAAGGGTAGATGCAAAGGATGGTACTTGTAGAAAGAGGTGTTTACACAGGCATTAAAGAATTAACCAAACATACAAAATTCAGGTTGTTGTAAGCCTGTGCCTTTTTAATTTGATGAAATTATACTGTCGAGTCACTCTGTTTTCTTTCCTGTTTATTGCTTCTATTTTTTTATTATTATTGGTATCCAAGTTTGTCTGTAAACAATTCAAGTTCTTTTCGTTTAGTTTGTACTTGTCAATTATTTTGTTATCATCGGTGATCGTTCTTTTCTTTTTTAATGTTCAAATCATGTAGGAAATAGATGACAATCGCAGATCTGCACAGTCTCATTACGAAAGAGCTTGGATCTTTAGAATGTGGTATGACTTTGATGTGAAATATCCTTTTGTGAAAGAGTTACATTTCTTGCGTAGCATTTTAATTTTGCTTTTGTAACCTTCGCGATATTGATGCTGTTGTATACAGCAAAATGCACTGTGCATGTCGGAAATTTTTTATTGAAACAGCTTAACAAATTAAACTCGTTTGTTTTCGTTGGCATATGGAGGTTTCGCCCATCTCAAGTTCGCCCTCTACCCTCTTTGAGAGTTCGCCCCTGAAGGAAAGCAGGTTCGCCCCACCTATACCAGTTTTATGTCAGGGATGGAGCTATTGGGGATATATTCTTATGCCCATTTCAACTACGCCCTCTACCATTTTTGAGAGTTTGCCCTAAAGCAAAGCAGGGTTCACCCCCACCTATACCAGTTTCATGTCATGGATGGAACTATTGGGGAGATTATTCAATACCGACCAATTTAGTTCTGGAATGATTACTTGTTTTGAGTGGATAGTCGCTATTAACTTTTGCCCCATTCACACCAAAGCTTAAACATGTTTAAAAGTTGTTTTGTTAAACACAGTTTAATTTTTTTTTTCTTCATAGAAACTATTTAACCGAATATTTTTTTGAATCACATAAACTCGTACTTGAATCCTATGGAAAATCAAGTTTTTCAGTTCTCTGTTTATAATTTTCATTCAATGAAAACCAGTTTAACAAAACATGTTTTGTTGGTGTGAATGGGGTATTTGTTATCGAGTTTGTATTAGTTTTTATCCCATAAACTCGGTGAAAAGGTCTCAACATAGTTATACAAGTCATATTATTTACAATGATTATTGTAAACCATTATCAGAATGGACTGAAGATTCCTGATTCCTGATTCCTGATTCCTTTGTTGGTCAGTGGGTTAATTTTCTTTTTAGAGCAGGTCGCTGAGATAAACAGCACGAATGGGTATTTTTACGAAACTGTTGGGTGATTGGAAACTCAGAGTTAGTTCGTTGTAGGGCCATTTGAAATGCCCCTACAACGAAGTGAAGTGCCTACAACGAAGTGAAGTACACATCTACGATCATTTCCCATGCTGATTAAAAATTTCATCCAGCCTCTGACAAACGAAAGAGAATGAGGAGAAGAAATAAATCCTCTTCCCTTCTTTTGCGCATAGCAGAGCACGTTGCATTGGAGGTCTTTTTATTGCCCTAGGGTAAATGCAGTGAAAGCGAGACTTACTTTCATTTCCTTGACAAACTTTACGTATATGAAACCTATTTTTACCAACTATGGCCAGCCTCTGACAGAGACCTTACCGGGATGGTGCGGTCCTCTTGCAAGATTCCTCTCAAGATCGCGGCCTGATGCAAAGGTACTGTTTCAAATTTGGGTAGAAGGGTTTTCTAGATAAATGAACGTTTAATCATTTGTCTCATGGAGTGAGAGTAAGGCTAATCAATCGTGTGTTGAGCGCGACGTTAACACTGCTACACTGCTAGTCTTTGTCAGGCGACGAGGTTGGTAGTTTACATTTTGCCGTCTATAGTACCTTACCTTGTTATTTTGTTATAGGTGTGTCACAGCGCGCTTTTATTGGTGCATTTCGATCATTATTGTCATTCCGTCTATTAGATATTTCTCCCTCATAGTTGGGTTTTGTTTCTGATCGACTGTCATGGTTTTTGATAGTTTGCATCCATGTTTCAGGGATTTCGATTCCGTTATCCCTACTCTCGTTCTAAGAATAAAGCCTTATGTCAATGACTTCTTTAACCCTTCCAGTGTACCGGGGAAAGCTATGATCAGTAAACCTCACCTGGCCCTTAACAGGGACGTGTCCTGTTTCATTGTCGTGTTCGAAATCGCCGAATTGTGAGCGCGAGCTAGCGCTATATCTCTTTCATGGTTTTTAATTCTCTCTTTCATCGCAACATAAGTGGGAAATGTTTAAAACGTAGATTACATGTAGCTGTGCGTAACAGATGTAGTTTTTGACATGTTTCGCGAGAGAATATGTGCGTGCGAGTCACCCTTGTCATGCAACTCACAGGTAGATTAAGTATAAATATAGTGTGTCACTGCAAATGTTTTGCATTATTTTGTATAATAACGTTCATCTATTTAAACCGCCATTTGCAACCGTAAGTAGACAACTATAGGTGTTTACCCCAGCCTGCAGTGCAGGCGTCTCGTTAGGACGAGTTAACGTTAAGGAGCGTGCAAAAGTTTATTCAACCGTAAAGACAACTCTTTACGGTGGCAAATTTACGTTATCAACTCATTTGATAATACTGAATTGCCCTGTTAAGCTCTTACGGGTTTTGTTTCAATGTAGGTAGAAACAGAACTGAGTTTTACCGACGAAGATACGGTCAAACTTGCCAGCAGCATTGTGAAAAGTGGTGAGCCGCCTGATCAGATAATGGAAGGAGATGTTGAATTAGGTGCTCTGCAAATGACAAGCAGAGCATAAATCGTTTTCATCAAACCGAAGGTTTCTGTAGGTATTTAGTTGCTAGTTGCTTGGTCTGGTCAGGTAGTTGTGACAGGATGTCGACTTAAAGGAGAGCTTAAAGGAGAGCTTAAAAGCTGTCTCTATTACTGTGAAAATCGCTGATTGTAAGCTAGCTGTCTTTAATTGTTAAATTGTAAGTAATAAGAGTGTTTGGAATACGCGCATTGGTCAATCAAGGCCAATTAATTGGTTCGGTCTTACATAGTCTTGTAGAAGTTTAAAAGATTCCGCTCCTCGTGGTTAGTGTTATATCGTTATTGACTTTCTACACTCTGATTGCAGTTTTTTTTACCCCTTTATTGAATGTACAACTTTGAAATAGTCTTTCCTCTCGTAGCACTTTACTGGAGAGGAATAATGTCTTGATGGTTTGAAAACATGTTAAGTTCAAAGCCGCATGAGAAGTGGATTTTTTTTACAATGTTAATTTGCTAATTTGCTGTAATTAAATTTAATTTCAATTATGTTGTTGAATAAAAATTGGGATAGGCTCACAAAGTCGTGGTTCAAAAGTGACCTTGGAAAAAAACTTGAATTAAATTTCAACAGAGTCTTATTTTACTGATTGTTCTTGCTGAGGTTAGTTTGTCAATTTTCTTCTGACTCATGCCTAAAGCTATTGAACGTAAGTAGTTTTCATAACAATAAGTATTACTCCTTAAACTTTGGAAGCTTTTCATTTCTAATTTTCTACCTGTTAATAGTGTAATCGGTCGCAGTTGTTTTCCTTCAAATAAAGCGATATGCAAGAAATTGTACTAGAAAGGATTTGAGTAATTCAGTTAATTCGAATTTAACATTTTTTAAAGAAACTCGTATCTACTCCACTTTGCCTTCGACAAGTTAAAAATAAGATTTTGTCACAAAATCGCTTAGATTGTGATTAATTGAATCATCCATAGAACACTGTTTTTATCCAAGTTTTTTTATCCTTCACAGCTTGAACGTCACTCTTTAACGGTACTTTAAAATAGTTGTACCATAATCCTCAATGTTTAGTTGTTAGTTTTAACATATATATTAGATCTTAAGAGAAAGATACCAACTAAGCCACCAAGAATTTGTAAGAAGAATTTTATGTAGCTAACATTAGCTTCAATAAAATAAAGATTAATAGTTTATTCTCAAATTTTGTATGGTTTCGATTTTAATTGGATTGTATATATTTTTTTTTATATTGTTGTTGGAGTTGTTGTTGTTGATGTTTTTTTCATAACTAGACTAACCTTTGTTTGGTGCATATGTCTCACTCACTCAATTTTGGATGGTAAGACAAGATTACATATCACCTTTATTATAAAGGAAAACTTTTTTTATGCTGGTAAATATTTTCATTTGTTATTTATATAGTTCTATATTGGTTATAGCTGTCTTGAATGCACCACATTGGTATCATCGAAAGCAGATTGAAAATGTATTTTTATTCTTTATTCAATGCAGTACAGAGGAGTAATGGAAAGCTTTTATCCACAAAAGTACAAACAACAAAAAAAGATCTCCTCATGCTTTCGACGGTCATTTTTTTACCGTAATTGTAGGAAAATGGAGAGAATCCAATTGTAGTCACCTATTCAGTTACGACTGCGTTCAGACTATCTCCCTGCTGGAGAAAAAATCAAAAATGAATTCCACTGAATTGACTTGTGATAATTTTAAGCCTTCGGAAGCCTCTTCCATGATCAAAACTCGGACATTTTTCGAACAAAAAAATTTCTTCTTTTGGAACAGCATTTTTTTAAAGCCTAAGCGCTTACAGAAAAAAAGACGATGTAACTCTACTCTAAATATTTTTTGATTAAATTTTAACTGTTGAATAATTTGAGAAAATAATACAAAATCAAGTGTAACTGGCTGATGGTCCACTTTTAAACTTTTGAATATATGTCTTTTGACCATTCAAATCACGTCCCCGACAATGATGTCGATTAACTAAACGTAAAACTTGCAATACATTTTCCATTAAATGCTTAACTATCCCGAAACTTACTTTGTTTTGTAAATATTGGTTTTTTTTTTCACAAACCCTCCCTTAGAACTGTATGTTACATCCAGTGATGGGTAACGCTGTATCTGCGAATATGATGCGTCACTGTTCGTTTTGTTTGTTTTCTTGCTCCTTCGGAAACTGTGAAAAATATTCACGTTGGCCTTGTTGTCGCAGAATTCTGACCTTGATTTTATGCTAGTCAGATCTACTGACCTTCTCGCTGAAATTACATTTTTTGCATGTGTTGCCAGAGGGTGAACCTTTTCTTTGCTATTTCCCCATTTGCGCTTCTTGGAACTTTCATTTCGATCTGCGGCAATGGTCGTGAGGTGGGATGAGGGTTCGTACGGCGGAGAACCACATGGAACGAATGAATCACGAGAACACTTGTAAAGCGTTGGATCGGAGATGGATCTTCCAAGAGTCGCTTTAAGTCCCTGGTCAACTTTTCCGGCGGTGTCAGGAGAAGCGGATGTTGTCAATATCGAGCTGGTTGTTTTCCCGTTGTGTGCTGATAGCTGTATTGATGCCTTATCGTTTAATTCGTTTTTCTTAGAGGATTGAGTCGCTTCAACGGATTGTTGAATATTCTTTGTTGTTTTCATTCCCAACAACTCTTTAACGGCGTTTCGAAAACGACGATCTCGGTAGAAGTACAAGACAGGAGTTAATACAGAGTTCAGCTGCACAAATACCTCTGATAATCGGAAAGCGGAGTTCATGCTAAATGCGGGTAAAAAGTTACGCGACGTGGTAATGACGATCGAGGGAACAAACGAAATCAGAAGTCCAGCTGTTAATAAACCAGTTGTCTTGGCAACTTTGGATTCGAGTTTTGCTTTCATCATGATGGTAACCTGGCTAGTTTGGTTTTGCTTTCGCTTCCGCAGTCCGAGGAACACCATGATGTAAAAATATACAGTGGCGAATAAACTAACCATAACCAGAATGATTCCAAGTGCAAGCCACCGACCGAGAACTGTTCGGTCTACACCAACGATGATCATCGCAACGGTTGGAACCATTTTGAGGATTGGCAACAGCCAAGCAATGGCTCCGAGATTTTGAAGGAGACGTTTGGTTACTTTGTTCCTGTAGTCCTTCCAACATTTTATGGCCATGTATCTCTCCCAAGCAATTGCAGTTAAGTGATACAAAGATATGTTGGACATTGTGAATAGCAAGAGTTTGTTTACCAAGGAATCGAACGTGCACACATGCTCTACTGAAACCCGGGTAAGCATTAGAACATCGAAGATGGCTGACATCGGCATTGTTATAGCTCCTGTTATGAGATCAGTGACGGCCATGCTGCATAGCAAAATGTTGGAGGGCTTTTGCAGTTCTCTGCTTTTGTTCAAAGCGACGACTACCAAAATGTTTAGGAGAGTGGTGACAGGGGCAGCAGTGAATATTACGACAACTAAAATCCATGGTAACGTTGTATTGGTCAAATCCCAGGTGAGGTATGGAGGTTTTTGGCAGAAGTACAATGAAATACTGGCAGAGGTGAAATCATAGCTGACTGTTGTTTTATTTTCCGCCATTTCGTGGCCTAATTTTGTCTAAGTGAGTATTTAGTTCCTGGACTTTTTTGTTTTGTTTGTCTAAGTTTTTGAAAAATTACCTCCACCGAGGCAGTCCTTTCCTTCCCGCTTCTGTTTCCTTCACGATGGCTTTGCCTTGCTTTGACTCGACGCTTTTTTCTTTTCGTAACTCAACAGTTATCTATAAAGGTACATGACAGAATGCGTGAATATAACTATATTATCGAAAAGCATCAACTTCTATTTTCAAGTTAATGAGACGTTAGCTTATCTTCTTCCTTTTTTCTTTTTCCTTTTTTTACCCAGAAAGATGAACTGTTTGCAAAGCCAAAGGCGTGGATTAAAGCGCATCTGAGACAGAAATGGTTTTAGATTTAATTTCAAAGCCATCAGCATTGTTTGAAAAAAGGTATAAGAAATTAAGGTGCAACTGTTTAATTTTCTCGATCTTGCTTTAAAATGTGTCTTTTGAGAACATTGAATTAAACCTGTAAACACACATTTATCGGGCTAAGCTTCCAATTTATTCATTTCGTATGAAGCAACTCTCCGTATTATTTTCGGCGAAGGGGATTTTAAAATTGGAAATTTTGTTGTTAGTGAATTTAACGATAGAAAGTAGATTACTTACCAGTATATTTGCAACCAATCTCTCTATGTCTTATTTCACCCTACTAGATGATTTAAGCGCGAAAAAATCATGGTGGCCATTTCTTAATCTAGATCTCAGTGTCCTGTACTTTTCAGGAAATACTATTTCAAAGATATAATTTGACGCTGTCGCTAAAGCTTGTAGAAAATGTACATATTAATAAGATTTTCTCTCTAGACTGCCGCTTAAGAGGGCGATTTCTAAAGAATGTCAATCTACCTACTAAAGTAAATTCAATTCAGCCTAAATAGTAATCCACCTTTGCACTGGTTTTGCCATATTACCTTTGTGATTGGTCCGGCAAACTCACTCCACTATTAAATAATCAGGTACAGAACTTAAACAGCTGTTACTTGGACACTGACGTCTTCCTGTCCTGAAGGCGATTTAAAGGTTTTTTTCCCTGTTTTCGAATTGGTCGCATGTAATATTTTCCTTTGAGCTCATTTGCCACTATGATTATTTAGATTTCAGTGTTACAAAAGCGTTCCTTTGTATCGTTAAAGGCTTAGTACCCTGAGGTGTGTTTGCGTGGCTCTTTTTAATATGCATGTAAGACAAAAGCAAAAATCAAACCTGACTAAGGGTAATGATAATTTGTTTTTTTCAACTGAGTTAATAAATAAATGTGAATTGGCTGCCTTAAAGAGTTTCCAAACATGACGTTTCGAGGGTTCGCTCTTCTTCAGAGCGAGTTAGTTAGGTTTAGAACTTACGAAAGGTTAGCGCTTTACCCTTCAAATTCTAAGAGTGACTAGCATCTAATTTCTCCTCACCATGTCAGCCTTGAATCACACATGAAGCTTATGAGAATAAAGGAAATGGTTACCAGGGAAGGAACCTTTTGATTGGCAAACAAATCCTCCTTGTCAGCACTTTAAGAAATGTATGAAGAACAGTGTGGAGAATATGCATACTGATGTTAGGGTGTAAAGGGTCAAAATGTCGACCATCGATGACATTCTGTTTTTTCATGTTCAAATCACATAGGAAGCAGGCCACAATCTTAGATCTGCGGAGAATCCTTAAGAAAGAGATTGGATCTTTACAATGTGGCACGACTTTGATGTCAAATATCCTTTTGCGAAAGAGTTACACTACTTGCGTTGCATTTCAATTATGCTTTTGTAACCTTCTCGAGATTGTTGCTGTTGTATATTGCAAAGTGCTCTGTGTTTGTCAGAAAAGTTTTATCGAAACAGCTCCAAAAATTAATCTTGTTCATTTTCGTTGGCTTATGGAGGTTTCCAACTCATGTGAAGTTCGCCTTCCACCATCTTTTAGAGTTCGCCCCTGAAGTAAAGCAGGTTCGCGCCCTCACCTAGATCAGTTTTGTGTCGTGGATGAAAGTATTGGGGAGAATATTCAAGACCGACCAATTTAGTCCTGGAATGATTACATATTAGTTTTTCTCCCATAAACTGGGTGAAAAGGTCTCAACATAGCTATACAGGTCATATCATTATGATGATTATTGTAAACCACTTTCAGAATTGTTGGTAAATGTGTTAATTAGCTTTTTGGAGCAGTTCGCTGAGATAAACAGCATGAATGGGTATTTTAATGAAACCTTTAGGGTTTTTATCATTAAAAATAGGGTGATTGTCCCTTTAACGGACTGAAGTACACATCTACGATCATTTCCCATGTTAATGAACTTAAGAGTGTTCTCTTGTAAGCTCCTGGTAAATTTTTGATGAAGTTTAACCCGCGTTCTTTACCAAAGATGTTAACACTTTTAAGTGCATTTTTAATTTCTGCTTTTGCGTTGTGGAAGTAATGGCCTTGATTAGTCTTCAGTATGGCGTAGACTCGAGAAGAAGACGAGCTGTATGTCTGCAGTTAAAATGTACTTTGCAGAGGCCATTTTGAAAAACAGAAATGTTTGCTCTGCTGCCAATATGAGGCCTGGTAGGTCAGCAATAGTGGCAACCAACCAATATCAAGGAGGCACGGGTCCAATTTTTGAGACTGGTTAATTCATTAAACTTAGTTACCGACTTATTTATCTGCGTTGCCTCAGTTTTTGTCAACGCGCGAAGATAGGTTCGTGACAAGAAGTGTCGCTATTGTAATTTAATTAAAAATTTATCCAGCCTCCGACAAACGAAAGGGAATGAGAAGAAGTGAGAAACCCTTTTCCCTTCTTTCGTGCAGAACAGAGCATGTTGCATTGGAGGTCTTTTTATTCGTGTAGGGATAAATGCAGTAAAAGCAAGACTTACTTTCATTTCCTAGAAAGACTTTACGTATATGAAATCTATTTTTACCAACTATGGCCGGCCTCTGACAGAGACTTTACGGGAATGGTGCGGTCCTCTCGCAAGATTCCTCTCAAGATCGCGGCCAGATGCGAAGGTTCTGTTTCAAATTTGGGCAGAAGGGTTTTCGTGATAAATGAACATTTAATCGTTTGTCTCATTGGGTAAGAGTCAGGCTAATCATTCTTGTATTGATCGCGACGTTAAGACTGAGACACTGCTAGTCTTGTCAGGCAACGAGGTTGGTAGTTTACATTTTGCTAGCCATAACTCCTTACCTTGATATTTTAGTATTGGTGTGTCCCATCGCGCTTTCGTTGGTGCATTTCGATCCTCATTATAATTCTGTCTATTAGATGTTTCTCCCGTATATATAGTTGGGCTTTGTTTCTGATCGGTTGTTATAGTTTTCAATATTTTGCATCCATGTTTCAGGGATTTCAATTCTGTTATCCCTACTCTCGTTGTACGGATAAAGCCTTATGTGACAGGCTTCTTTAATCCTTTCTGTGTGGCAGTGAAAATCATGATTAATAAACCGAACCTGGTCCTTAACAGGAACGTGTCCGTGTCGTGTTTCAATGTCGTGTTCCGAAATCGCCGAATTCTGAACGCGAGCTAGCTTTCATGGTTTTTTATTCTCTCTTTCATCACAATGAAGGTAGAAAATGTTCAAAACGCATATTACATCATAGCTGTGCGAAACAGATGTAGTTTTTGACAGGTTTCCAGAGAGAATATACGCGTGCGAGTCACCCTTGTCATGTAAATCACAGGGAGATGAAATGTAAATATGGTGTGTTCTGCAAATTTTTTGCATCATTTTGTATAACGACCTTCATCCATTTAAACCACCATTTTGCAACCATAAGTAGACAACTATACCCGTGGACCCTAGCTAACAGTGCGGCGTCATCTTAGAGCGAGTTAACGTTATGAAGCCCGTGCTAGTTTATTCAACCGGCCATATTAAATTTGGAGTTAGAGTTGACGGAGAAGGGTAAGAAGGAAGGGCAAGATTAGATAGGTGGTAATATTTAGACCGAATTGTAGCCAAACCTACACGAAATGCTCTCGATCCCAACCCCTTTCCAACGACTCAAGAACAAAATTTTTTTTTATCTCTTAACCCCTTAACTTAGTAAAAACCGCGTCGCTCTTTAATTTTTGAGTTATTCCTCCAGTTTGGGGTGATGTTTGCCTTGGTTTCGCACGTGAGCCATACAAAATGACATGCGACGACGGTGCCACCCAGTTTGTCAATTTTCTCTCATGCCTAAAAAGCTATTGTTTAAAAAACGAAGCGATCATTAAGTTAAGTTTTGAGCTGGCAAAAGTAGGATAAGCTCAAAACAAAATAAAGTATAAGTTTGTCAATTTTCTTCTGACCATTAAACTATTTTGTAAGTAGTTTTCCTAACAATAAGTATAACCCCTTAAACTTTGTAAGCTTTTTATTTCTAATTGTTCCACCTGTTCATAGTGTAATCGGTCACAAGTATTTTCCTTCAAATAAAGCGATGTTTTTTCTAGCCAATATGCAGGAAGTTGTACTTGAGAGGAATTAAGTCATTTAGTTGATGCAAATATTAACATGTTTTAAATAAACTTGTATCTACTCCACTTTGCCTTTGACAAGTTAGAAATAAGATTTTCTAGAGAAATCGCCCAGATGGTAATTAATTGAATCATCCGTAGAACACTGTCATTATCCAAGTTTTTTTATCCTTCACAGTTTGTAACGTAACTCTTTAAGAAAAAGATACTAACTAAGCCACCAAGAAAGATGAATTTTATCGAGCGAAAATTAACTTTAATAAAATAAAGATTAATAGCTTATTTTCAAATTTTGTATGGTTTTGCATTTACTTGGAATAGCTATTTTTTTTTTTTCATATTGTTGTCGGAGTGGTCGTTATTGTTGTTTTTTTTTTCATAGCTGGACTAACTTTTGTCTTAGTGCATATGTCTCACTCACTCAGTTTTGGATGGCAAGACAAGATTACATGTTTCCTTGATTATATTCCGAGCATACATTTCCATCACAGATCGAGTCATTCCAGATTTTTAAAGAAACTTTTTTATGCAGGTAAATGTTATCATTTATTATTTATGTAATGTTTTATTGGTTTTAGATGTCCTTAATGCATTGCATTGTTTTTCTGATTCAATGTATTTAAGAGGGGAAATGAAATGCCCTTATCCACAAACGTACAAACAAAAACAAACTATCTCCTCATGCTTTCAAAGTTAATTTTTTCCCCGGCGGTAATTGCAGGAAATGGAAAGACTCAAATTTTAGTCACCTTTTCAGCTACGATTTCGTTCAACTTATTTCCCAGCTGGAGAAAAAATTGGGAATGCATTCGACTGAACTGGTTTGTCAATTTTAAGCCTTTAAGAGGCTTTTCCGTGATAGAAACTCGAAAGTTTTTCGACAACAAATGTTTTCTTTTGAAATGGCCTTTTTTAAAAGCCTAAGGTACTTACAGAAAAAAAAAATACGATGCATCTATATTTTAAACATTTTTCGATTAAATATTAATTAAATAATTTGAGAGAAAATAAGTAAAAATCAAGTGTAACTGGCTGATGATCCAATTTTCAACTTTGGAATATATGTCTTTTGATTATTCGAATCACGTCCCCAACTATGATGTAGATTAAACGGACCGTAAAACTTGCAATACCTTTTCCATTAAATGCTTAACTATCCAGAAAACTCAAATGGTTTTGCAGATATTTGTATTTTTTACCACCCCCCTTAAAACTGTATGTTACACCCAGTAATTGGTTACGCTGTACCTGGGAAAAATGATTTCGACCTTGGCTTTATGTTAGTCAGATTTGCAGACCTTCTCGGCGAAATTGTATCTTTTGCACGTGTAGCTAGAGGGTGAATCTTTCCTTTGCTATTTCCCCATTTGGCCTGCTTGGAACTTTCATTTCGATCTGCGGCAATGGTCGTGAGGTGGGATGAGGGTTCGTACGGCGGAGAACCACATGGAACGAATGAATCACGGGAACACTTGTAAAGCGTTGGATCGGAGATGGATCTTCCAAGAGTCGCTTTAAGTCCCTGGTCAACTTTTCCGGCGGTTTCAGGGGAAGCAGATGTTGTCAATATGGAGCGGGTTTTTTCCCCATTGCGTGCTGATAGCTGTATTGATGCATTATTGCTGAACTCGTTTTTCTTAGAGGATTGAGTCGCGTCAACGGATTGTCGAATATTCGTTGATGTTTTCATTCCCAACAACTCTTTAACGGTGTTTCGAAAACGACGATCTCTGTAGAAGTACAAGACAGGAGTTAAGATAGAGTTCAACTGCACAAATACCTCTGATAATCGGAAAGCGGAGTTCATGCTAAATGCGGGTAAAAAGTTACCCAACGTGGCAATGACGATCGAAGGAACAAACGAAACCATAAGTCCAGCTGTTAATAAACCAGTTGTTTTGGCAACTTTAGATTCGAGTTTTGCTTTCATCATGGTAATAACCTGGCTAGTTTGGTTCTGCTTTTGCTTCCGTACTCCGAGGAACACCATGATGTAAAAATATGCAATGGCAAACAAACAAATCATGACCAGAATTTTTTCAAGTGCAAGCCATCGATCGAGAACTATTCGGTCTACACCAGCGATGATCATCGCAACGGTTGGAACCTGTTTGAGGATTGCCAACAGCCAAGCAGTGGCTCCGAGCTTTTGAAGAAGAAGTTTGGTTACTTTGTTCCTGTAGTCCTTCCAACATTTTATGGCCATGTATCTCTCCCAAGCAATTGCAGTTAAGTGATACAAAGATGAGATGGACATTGTGAATAAGAAGGTTTTGTTTACCAAGGAATCGAACGTGCACACATGCTCTACTGAAACCCGAGTAAGCATTAGAACATCGACGATGGCTGACATTGGCATTGTTACAGCTCCTGTTATGAGATCAGTGACGGCCATACTGCATAGCAAAATGTTGGAGAATTTTTGCAGTTCTCTGTTTTTCCTCAGAGCGACGATTACCAAAATGTTTAGGAGAGTGGTGACAGGGGCAGCAGTGAATATTATGACATCTAAAATCCATGGTAGCGTTGTATCGGTCAAATCCCAGGTGAGGTATGGTGGTTTTTTGCAGAAGTACAACGAATTACCGGCATAGGTAAAATCATAGCTGACTGTTGTGTTATTTGCCGCCATGCCGAGGCCTAATTTTGTCTAAAGGAGTGTTTACCTCCTGAGCGTTTTTGTTTTTGTTTTGTTTGTCTATGTTTTTGAAAAATTTCTCCACCGAAGCAGTTTTTTCCTTGCCACTTCTGTTTCCCTACGATGACTTTGCCTTGCTTTGACTCCAAATTCGACACTTTTTTCTTTTCGTAGTTCAATAGTTATCTATAAAGGTACATAACAGAATGCGTGAATATAGCTATATTGTCGACAAGCATCAACTTCTATTCTCAAGTTAATGAAACATTAGCTCATCTTCCCCCTTTTTTCTTTTTTTTTCCAAGAGATGAAATGTTTGGAATGCCTAAGGCATGGATTAAAGCGGATCTAAGCCAGTAATGGTTTTACATTTGACTTCAACGCCATTAGCATTGTTTGAAAAGGGTGTGAGAAATTAAGGTGCAACTGTGTAATTTCTCTCGATTTTAATTTATAATGTGACTTTTTAGAACTTTAAATTAAACCTGTATGCACTCACAATTGTTGGGCTAAGCTTCCAATTTATTCATTTCGTATGAAGCAACTCTCCGTATTATTTTCGGCACATGGGATTTTAAAATTGAAATTTTCTTGTTAGCAAATAATGATCGAAAGTACTTTACTTACCAGTTTATTTGCAACCCATTTCTTTATGTTTCATTTTACCCTATTTGATGATTTTAGCGCGAAACAATCATGTTGACCATTTCTTAGATAAACCAGGAAATTTTATTTAAACGACATAATTTGACTCTGTCGCGATTGAGCTTGTACAAAATGTACATAGTAGTAAGATATTCTCTCTAGACAGTCGTTTAAGAGGGCTATTTCTAAAGAACATCACAAGGAAAGTTCAAAGCATTCACGGGAACTTGAGATGAAGAAATTGAAAAGAAGTCGGTTTTTTTGTTTTGTTTTTTTGGTTTAATATTGTACGTTCTACAGCCATTGGTCACATTTTTGTCTGAAATATAATCTGCTTTCCCCTGTTAGCTGTCAGGAAAAAGGTTATCAACCACGCAAACATATTTCTACTCGGCTATACTGCTTATAAAATCCTACATGAAGTCTGGGAAAACATTTATGTAAGAGATAACAAACCTGATGGCCGAGGTTAACTGTAAATAAGCTGTTAACGTGTTCTTCATGTCCTTGCTGAAAAGGCCAAGGTTACGGTGGTGCTGAATTGAGTTCTCAAAATATGAAAAACAAAACACAAGCAGAAAGCCTTTAAGGGAGTTTTTTTTCCGTGGGTGTGAGAAATGAAATTATTGACACCAGTATTTCGTCCTCAGTTGGAAAAAAGGTAACAAAACGGATTGAGTACTTGATTGTCCAACGACGTTACGATCAAATTAGCATAAGAAAATGAAACAAACTCCAATTAGCGCTAAACAGCTAGATAGGGACACCAGCTGTCAATCTTTCTATTATTGACTAAAAGCTTTCTCAAGAAGCCATCTGTTCACTAAAGAATAGATTGGTGAGAACTGAAGGTCAACTGAACCTTCCGATTTACCGCCTTTCTTACAACTTAGCTTCAGTAAGCGCCCACTCATTACGTACAGCGGCAGCAACATTGAGCAACAAACAACGTCAGTGATAATCCTGCGAAGAACAATTCCATTCTGAGTATACGTACTTTCTTGCACGTATGAAAGTGCGTATCTAAGGATTTTTTTCTCGGGACCGATTCACTGCTATGTAATCGATTACTTAGGTTGCCCAAATTCATGATGAAAAATTTCTTGCCAGGTTTGGAGCCATATGCCTTAAACCTTTTTGTGACTTTGATCACGAATCACTTCATAAGCGACTTCTCTACTACAAATTGATTAGCAGAAAGCGAAAAAATTCGTTGGGTGTATTCACAGAAACAAAGCAGCGATGGCAGTTAAAATAAAATAACTTGAAATTACGTAGGCAAAGAAACATAAGATTCCCAGCTGTTTCCACACCACACAAAAATTGGAATATTGCAAAAATCTAATATCTTAACGGACACTGGCAATTTGGTCGAGGTAACTACTCGATGTGTCTTCAATTCTTACATCGAGTAAATTCCTCATTAACTTCGTGAAAATAGGCACGAAAGACTGTAAAACCGAAGAATAAAACTCTTCGATCGATTTTTTTCCGAATCTATTGTAAAGTACTCGTTTCAAAGAAAGTTCAAAATTTTTCTTAATGGATTTGTAGTGGCATTTTTACAGCAGATAAAACAATACTCATTTTAGGCTGAGGTGAGTTTTGGAAAAAAACCTCTGGTTTCTGGCATTAATATGCTTCACCCCTCCAATATATGTCTCTGTATAGCAAATCGTATCGGTGTTTTTTATGAGAGGAAAAAAGAAAGGAAAGGTCTCGGGCCTACTAAATCTGGTGTCCGCTTATTGTAGGAGCAACTTTTACCGTCCCAACTAGTGACTATGCATTTCTTCGTTGGCTGGTGCTTAGAATTTGATTTTACCGTTGAAACTTAGCTGACAGAGTAATATTGTTTAGAAATACTGCTATCTTGATCGCTTTTATGAGTTATTGGGGCTAATGTGGGAAAGCCTTCCTCTAGGGTTATGTGAACTCGTTATATAGAGAATAATACATGGGCGCGCGTAGGTATTGAATTTTTCTTCGAGTGTTAAACTCGAAGTGAGATGTCTAGTTGACCAAGAAAAGAGAAATTTCATATCTACGAGCAACTGTGTCATATTTTGTTTATCATATGAGCATAATAACCCTTTACTGACTAATGTTGTCGACTTAGCTAATGATTGAAAATAAAAGGTTCGACAATCCCCGAATAACTTGGTTGATAATTTTTGTAAAAAGTCATAGCCAGGTGCGTGCGTCGAGTGGGCGCTTTCCGAAAAACAAAGTTCGGCTTAAACTTCTGATATGATAATGATGATAAGATTAGAAAATTTGAGAGCGTATTATTTAACTCTGAACGGAAGGCCAAAATTCTAAATTGATTAATTCAACCATTAGCTGACACAAACCGCCTACAATGAGGTGGTTCACAAATCCATACTTTTACGACGATACAAAGAAAGGTACATTTTAAACATTGATTTTATCAAGGTAACTAAGTGCATGTGCATGCGTTGAGTGTTTGCTTTTCGAAAATTGGTACTAAAGGATACTAATTGGACAATTAAAACATCTGTTGTGCTCTCTTTGCCCGAAGGTTTGTGACGATAAGATTAGCAAATGCGAAAACATGGTACGAGAGGAGAATGCTGATCATAATATCGATTGGGCATGTATCGTTGAAGCGACTGGTTTATTTCGCTGAGGTTAAGTGCTAAAGGAAGCAATTTGATAATTGAACCATAAGTTTCTTTATCACCGCTCTGGACTGATTAAGTTTAACATGGGAGGAGATAAAAATATAGTATTGTGCTAATTTTCCCTGCTACTATACATCTGAATTGTTAATTGAGGTTCACTGAGTTCATTTCCTTTCGGTTATCTGACAGAAAGGTCTGAACTTTCAAAAAATATATATTAAAACCATCAGCTTACTAAATTAAACCGCGTTCAATAATACGATTGGGAAAATTTTATCTTGTTAGAACGAGATGTCACTCAGCTATCGGTTCTTACATTGACTGCTACAAATAAAACGAAACCTGCCTAATCGAGGATTCAACGAACTAAATACATAATTGCGTGTTAAATGAATCTGGGAAGACCAAGTTCACAATTATATCAAAAGAAAGATCCTATTAGCACAGATATTTACGTTTATAGCCTTATCTCTGATATTTTAATTAAGTTTTTTTTTAATTTTGTTGTACTAACCTGGTCAGAAGGTCCCTTAACAAGTACCTAATCAATTTCTTCTGTGTGTAGTAGAAAAAGAGACTCAAATGTTATTTTTACGCCCAGTAACACAAAGCATTTATTTCCGAAATGGTTTCCGTGAAAGTTTTGTCAGTCATAATTTTATTCTATGGACCATTCAAACTTTTCGAATTAAAAGATCTTCCGTTTGAACATTGTTATTAAAAATCAATGAGAAAAAACCCTTCTGACTCAGAGACGCACAGCATTTGCCACCAAGCGCTGACTTGCTAAGAAGGACGTCAAGAACTCATTAAAATCTGCATGACTGAAAGTTAATCAGGTGAGTACTTTTTCTTGTTTGCAGTTTTGGCCTTTATACACCATGAGTTGTTTGGTTAATTTTGAACCGAGTAATAAGGCCTGAAACGTGCATCAAATCTAACGGTCAAAACGTAGAAGAATAAGAAAACTGGTTTATTTCCCAAATTGGCACAGAAATGTCCGTAGTTCCGTCTTTAAAGAAGGCGGTAGCGCCGTGAAAAAAATTAGATTATAAAAGTACTTCCTTTCAAAATGCTACATTTGCCGGTGTAAAAAATTGGAAAAAAAACTTTAAAAGATAGAGATAATACGTGAAAAAAATTAGATTATAAAAGTACTTCCTTTCAAAATGCTACATTTGCCGGTGTAAAAAATTGGAAAAAAAACTTTAAAAGATAGAGATAATATTGTGTTAAATAGAATTTTAACAAGAAGAAATATCTTGCTCTGGTAAATAAATGTTTATAGTTCCGTCTTAAAAGAACGCTGTAACGCGGTGAAAAAAAGTCAGATTATAACAGTATTTTCTTTCAAAATGATTCATTTGAAGTGGAAAATAGTTAGAAAAAAAACAATAAAAAACAAAACAGGGATGATATTGTACTAAATAGAATCTTAACAAGAAGCTCTAGTCGAGCTCCAGTGAACTATTACGTACGTTAAGGCCTTCGGAAAATTAACGTGCATGTTCAAGTTGGCGACACTACCACGTGATGTGTTGAGCTAGTTGGTGAAGGTGTGTGTCGGCTAAAACCCTTTGAAGAACATTTTACCAAAAAGAATAATTTAGATGACTATACATTGTATCTTAAATGTAGATACTCACACCCAGCTTAGCAAATAGCAGTAACAAAAAAAATCAGAGTTTTCGTTTTTACACTTGTGTTCAGAGATGCACGCAGAAACGACAAAGGCAGATTTGACGAAATTTCGTCAAACCGAGTGGATTTTCATAGATTTGACGAACTTTTAGTCATCAGCTCGGCGGAAATGACGATTTTGACGAATGTTAGTCAAATTCGTGAAAGCGAAATTAATATGGCAGATTTGACGATTTTAGCGAATTTGAGTCAAATTCGTCAAAGCGAAATAAGCCTAGCGGAAAATAACTGTATATCTAATTTATCCTGTCTTTTTCTGCCCTTGAGTTTGATAACGTGATTCTAATAATTTTAAGTGCCGTAAATTCTATGCAAAGTTTAATGACAAAACATCTGAAAAAATGCTGAAGTTAGTAGTCTGAGATTGTTAACATACCTTCAAGAAAGAACAAGGAAAGTATATCTCTATATTAATAGTAATTATGCTTTCAGTTATGTCCTTTAATTTATATTACAGATAAATCACGCCATCGCAAAGAAAAGAAAGACAGGAAGCTTTTAGAAGGCATAGAGACTGTGTCCAAGACTGACAACTACATTAGAGCTGAAGGTTACTTTGAAAACTGCCTTGGAATACGCTTGTCGGCGATACGAGATCAGCATGGATCCAGAGAATTCATTAGCAACCAGTTATGACTCTACTTCTGCAAGCAGGTCAGTTTTCTTGTGCCAAAAACTTCCAAGCATCATCTGGGATTTGACTCATACGACTTTCCCTTGGATTTTAGTGTTCATTACATCTATTGCTTCTCCTATCATCACTTTCCTTAACGCTACTGTAATCGTAGCTTTGAAGAAACGGAGGGAACTAAAAAAACAGTCGAACATTTTGCTATGCAGCATGGCCTTCACTGATCTCCTAACAGGTGCTATAACTATGCCACTATCTGCCACAACCGTTGTTTTAATGCTCAGCCAAGTTTCTTTGGAGCATATTTGTACATTAGATTCCCTGGTGACGAAACCCATAATATTTCTCATGTCTTTATCATCCTTATTTCACTTAACTGCCATTGCTTGGGAGAGATACATGGCCATAAAATGTGGGATGGAGTACAAGAGCAAGGTAACAGAAAGTCTCCTCAAAAAATTTGCGCTAACTGCTTGGGTATTACCTTTTTTCAAACAAGGTCTAACTGTTATTATAGTGGCAGTTAGTATCTCAGAAAAATTCCTTGGTATCGGCATTTTAGTTGAGGCTGTCGTGGTCCTTGGTTGTTCAATCGCCATTGCATATTTTTACTTCAAGGTCTTACTTGGAGTGCAGAGGCAAAAGAAGAACAAAACTAGCCAGGTTTCTGTTTTGTTGAATGTGAAACTCGAATCTAAAATTGCCACGACAACTGGTTTGGTAACCGCCGCACTTCTTTTTTCGTTTGTTTTTTCAGTTGTTATTGTTGTTCTAGGTAGTTTTTCACCAATATTTCGTATGAATTCCACTTTTCAATTGGCAGAGCTAGTTTTACAGCTGAACTCCCTTTTAAATCCAATATTATACTGCTATAGCGACCGCCGTTTTAAAAACGCTGTCCAAGAGCTGTTAGGTCTCAAAAAAACACAAAAATTCCAACCAACCTTTCATGCTAATCGATGTTTAAGACGAAAAGAATCCTTTCAATCAGTAGAGATGAAACTGCAAGGAGAGGAAATTTTCATCGTCCAATCTACAAAATCCGCTCCCTTTGAGCCTCCCGTTGAACATGAAGGGGCTTCTAGCATAAATATGGAAAGGTCCATCTCTGGATACTGCAGTGATTCATTTGCTCAATGTAATGTCCAGATTCCGGAGCCCTTGTCCGTCCATACGACAACCGCTGTGATCCATAGTCAAAGTTCTAGGCAATGTGGATATAGAATTTCCAAAGAAAAGGTTCACCCTGTATCACCAACTGCAAACGACGCAGTTTCTTCGCAAGGATCAGCAAATCGAACCCTTACAACAAGATCGAATACCTGCGGGGCTGAACCATCTGAATTTATTGAAAATATTGCTAAGAAATGTGAATTAGAAAGCAGAGGACCGAGGGTGAAACAAAGTCAATAACTTAAAGGAAAATAAAGCCCTGAATTCATTATGAACAAGTTTTGAAAGGAATTGGAAACCACACTATCAAATTCTTGCTTAGCAAAAAAAAAAAAGGAAAAAAAAAAGGGCACAGTACTTTTGCGCTTTGTTTTCAGCTAGAGGAAACCTTTTCTGGAGGAGGGTAAATCATCAAGAAATTATCTTTTCAGTTAAAATTTGTCCACATAAGTAGGAAAGAAGTGTTTGTCGTTACAAAATAAGCAACTTAAAAAGGCATCAAGTTTTTATGGAAGAAGAGTTTTGTGTATATCGCCGTTATGTTGGATTCTTTGACGCTCTAAAGTTGCTTCAAGAGAACATAAACTCTTAAGCATGACGTTTAGCAAACGGGAAACGGCAAATATGACCACATCATCAGTTTTTCCAGGAATTTTTGACATATTCCGTTTCTTTTCTGCCGTTTTTAGCAGCAAGGAACGGAGAAAGTTTTGCGTTAATAAAAAACGTCATTAAAAAGTATATTCTCTAATGCCGTTGTAAAGCGTTGGCAGTCGTGTGCTTCATAGCGAAACTTATTTACTGCCTTAAGATAAAACAATTGTCTTGTTTTACTTTACCAGGAGATTATCGGGAAAAAACTTTTTTGTCAATTATTTAATTCATTTAATTTAATTCATTTAATTTAATTCATTTAATGAAAAAAGCTTAAGCGTCGTGAGCTTAACACTGTTCTTCGTTTTCCAAGGAATTGGAAATTTCCACAAATCAAAATGTTAAAGTGGGAAGATTTAAAGGGGTTGAAAAGAATGTTTTGAGACCATTATCACATCTTCCTAAAGTAGAAGGATAGTCTATTTCTTGGGAAACGTCTTGTTATTACAACATATTTTTTACGTTTCCGGTGACCGCCGAAAGAAACACAAAAATGTGCATGTTGAATTAGGTAAAAAAGCCTCACTAATGTCGCATTTTCAGACTTTTAAAGTTCATTCCGTAAGATTACTCGGTGGAACCTTTAAATATTTCCTTAAATACATTCATCCAAGGGAGTGTTGCTGCAAAATTTAAAATAGAAAAAATAAATTCGATTTTTGGGAGTGTCCATCGAGAATCGATGGACTCTTTATTCTCACCCAAAGAGTGAACTGAAGACGTCAAACGTGAAGCGTCAAGTAGCCACCTTCCTGTTTGTTGCTTAAACTCTCTATTGTCTAGCTACATAATCCCCTAAAGAATGCAAGGAATAAAAGAGCTGATAAAAAGTTTGATGATAAAAGTAGTAACAATATGATGTCAACCGCTCGAACGTAGCGTCTTATATTGGTTGCATTTGTTTCCAGTTTTCATACATTTTAGTTCCTCTATTCTTTTTCGTTATAACGGCAACTTTTTCCACTAGTGGAGGCTTACCTTAACGTAAAGCACATTTAATAAACTTTAAGTATTGTGCTTCATCAAACTTTTTAAAACTTGTTTACATGGTATATGGTTGTCAGGATTTCAATTTTATCACCATTTTGTCTCTGTCAGTTTTCCTAATTAGGAAAGTAAACCTATTGTCATGACTGCAAGCTGAATTTCGATTTACAGCCTCCCCCCGCCAAAACAACAACAACAACAACAACAACAAAACTAAAGATTTGTGAACATAAATGAGAGGCATTTTTTTTCTGATTGTAGTGAGGTTTTGTTCAAAATTGTTATCTGATATGCATGTATTTAAAAACTTTTCTTCATTAACCCGCTTGATAGTTGACCACTTTGCACTTACAGAGATAAGGAAATACTGGGCTGGACTCATCTTAATCCAGGTTTTCCTGTTAACCTCTGCACTCCTAAGGTGTAAAAGCTTAATGTTCCTTAATAGGAACACTCCTCTCCTTGCTGACTGTCTCTGATAGTTTGATGTCACGTCCTTAACTCTCAAAATTTATATCACTTCTTTACATCCCAGTGCGTTTAAAAAAAGGTATAGTTTGATCTCTTGAGAGTGAAATTGGTATCCCCTCACAATATCGATTTTGTCAAGTACTGGAATGGAATCGTTCATTTACAGTATCAGCCATACTGAGCGCCTGCAACGCGACCATTTTCAATTCTTTCTTAGAGAAATTAGTCAAAAAAGAAAAAAAATTTTGTCCCATTTCCGCAGGCTTTATCAAAAGTGTTTGCAGGGGGCACTTTTTGATAAAAAAGGACAAAGGGTGCTAAATAGAACATTGATTAACAATTAACCATAAAAGAAATGCCCAGATGACTTCATAAAAGATGTGCTTACCAATTTTTTCGCACACACGGACGTTTCGCACTCAAACGATTCGTATCCAGTCATGACTATTCGTACTCAGTCAGTTAAGTCATTCGTACACACATTGACCGGGTGCGAAACATCTGAGTTTTAGAAGCGACTGAATACCAGGTAACCAGCGTTTTAACAGATGATATTTAGATTGGTTAACTCGTGAGCGTGGGAAGTCCATTCCGGATTAGTGGGAGAAGAGAATGATGCTTTTGCGCAATAATTACCGGAAGTTCTATCTCTGATACTTAAAATAGGAAGGGAATCATTATTCTCGTTGTGATGTGGATGAAAGGGTAATCAATTTGAATTTCCTGCTTCTTCTCTATGGTTTAAATTAAGCACCACTAATTTTTTTCCTTTGATGCCCATTTCCACGAAACAAAAATTTAAATTTCGAGCGAAAAATTTTTGTTTATTCTTTGTCGCTCATAGCCACGCTTTTCATATAAAATGAATATAATCCTCCTTAAAGCGTCGAGAATAAAAAGCATCATCTGTGAGGAATCTTTTCTCCACTCCCACCCGTAAAAATATAATAACAAAAAAACGCTGCTGAATCAAAATTCCATTTGACCTTTTAATACAGATGCAGAAAAACACTTCGCAGCTGAAGATCGGATTTTAATTAATAAACTTAATTTATTTTTTTCTAAATTTTTCAAACTTGTTCCAGACGCATTCAGAAATCTGAAGTTTCGGTTTGGTTTTTAAATATGAAAATGAGAGTACATAATTACATTAGTGTTTCCTTGTAAATGATTAGTAATGATTAAAGAACTTCAACTCCCGCTGCAGCTAACAATTTCGAACTATTTTACGTTCAATCAAGCTATGGATTGCACCGTTCTTGTAATGTCACCTTAAGAAACATTACGACTGAATATTTTTGGAAAACAAGTAATGTAATAGAGAGTGAATGGAAACTCAATAAGCGCCGAATTTTCTGTATGTTCGAGTTATTTTATTATATCTTTGACAGTTGACAAGAGACGAGTTTTTAATCTCTTGCAAAATATGTTGATGAGCTCTAAAACTAGTAATTCGTGTTCTAGTTAGTCGTATATTAATTCTAAGATCGAATTTCTTATCGTAAAAAAAGCAAACACGCATACAGGTGACGAGCCGTTGGCTGTTCATAACATAATGGTTTTCTGTGGAAGATGCAAGGGTTTTCGGCTTTATAGAGAGAACTAATTACTTGCCCTTGTTTAGTTCGATCAAAGTTTCGCCTTTCACGTCCCGAACGACGTTAATAACATACCGAAAGCCTATTACATGCTTACCTTGGCGTAAGGTGAGTGTTTCCTACGGCTCAAGAGATCATCTGTGACCCAAACGACCAGGTTTTTTTTTTTTTTTTTTTCACTTGTGATAAAAATTTTGCGATGAGGTCTATTTCTGGCCAGAATTGCCAGTTTTTTCTTTGAGGAACCATGTATTGGCGAGTAAAGACCTGATTCTAAAGGATCCTAAACATTAAAGTTGTATGCGAATTTTGACATCAATATAAATTGTACTACCATTTTCCTGGCAGGTGCGAAATTACTGATTTTTCATACCAAAACCATTCCCTAAAATCCAAAGCAAAGTTGACTAACTGTCGTTTTCTTGGCAAGATTTCAGTACTGATGAACCCAGCTTGCAAACTATTCTGAGTGAAAGCATTATTCACAAAGGTAATCTATGTTTTTTCGCAATTTTGGTTTCATCGAACAATTGAATGTATATTAATGGGTGAGGTTATACGGAAATCTTCTCTTTTTTGCCAATTTGTATAAGGAATTTAGTTTTTTATTGCAAGCTAAACATCCGATAAAAATTTTCTACCTACCTTTCAGGTTTGTCAGTTTTTCTTGATAGCAAAAAGAAATCACGATCGAAATTGCTTGATAAAATACGTGTGTTTGGTAGAAACAGCGAAATAGAATCAAATTCGTGGCCCTTGGACGGCTCATTCAAGTGAAGAGCATACTCAACGCGCTCATCTTTAGCTAGATGAAAAATGCAAATTTTCATTGATGGCAATCTGTAATCGAAGAAGGTTTTGAAATGTCGAATTTTTCAATCTACCAGAATTTTTTTATTATTATTATTATTATTATTATTATTATTATTTTCGCTCGGAGACATTCCTGACTTCTTGAAATGGGTCAGTCTCTTCTATTGCGAATATTTACCTTTCGATTTAATCAATTTTTTGGATGATGGTGAAAACACAATATAGAAAGTGCTTATTAAAATTGGTTAGTTTGGAAGATAACAACAAAAT